CAATGCTTAAATACGCTATGGAAATCTTTCTAAACACTAATTTCTATCAATTCTTATATCAATGTCTATATCAACTTTCACAAACTTCAACTCTGCTCATCAACCTCAACGCTACATACAAACACCGCCCACCCAACTCCACTCCCCCCATTGTCCTATCCCATCATCTCTCCATCACTGCATCTCACCTCGACTCCATGTGGGGTAAATCCGGGGTAGGCGCTGAATGCGCTGATAACGACATGGCACAACAAACAGCGGCCACTCATCCGGGCAATACAGGCTATTTGCACAGGAAACACGCTACTTTATGTGTAATGCACTTTCAATTGATGCTAAAGAGATCATACTCTACTCTTTCCTGCCCTATCCTCATTCATCTAGTAAATATACATGCTGCTCTTATATCCCATTCCCATTTTACATCTAAATCATGAATGAAATCATCATAGCCACTAGCACCCCCCTCATCACACTCCACCCACTCATCCTCAACCCCTCATTCGGCTTCACCTCTCCTGCTTCATCCCCCTCTCCTGTCGTGCACTTCGTAGGCTTACACCGCCTCGTCGAGGTCAAGGTTATTCTTGACGTGACTGTAGATGTGGTTGTGGATGTGCTAGTATGGGTTGACGTCTTTGTGACCCATGTGTCTGTCGTTTGCAGAGATTGGCACTCTGTTGCCTTTGCGTCTTTAATGGTAGTTGTGGTGGTGGTTGTGGTTGTAGTTGTTATGTTTTTAGTTACTATTTCGTGTGGTCTCACTTTTAGTGGCTCTAATGTTGAACATATTCCCTGTATCTTTTTACATGGATCCTCACAGTCACACTCTTTTTTGAAACCACAATTCTTCAGTGAATGATTACATATTTCTTTCAATTCTAGATAGAGATCAAATGCTCTTGCTACCAAATCAAATGCTGCTAATTCTTTTTCTGTTACATGCACTTTTGCATTTCTTCTTACAAGTTTAAATCCTGTTGTGCCTTTTCCTTCCTTAGGTGTATCAGATGAGTCTTTATTTACTGACTTATTATTATTATTATCAGGTCCTTTCGCTCTCGATAAAATAAGGTTTGCATCTTCCATGGCTTTTTCTGCTTCTTCTTTAATTTTTTTATACTTTTCTTCTTTCTTTTCTAAGACCTCTTTTACTTCTTCAAGCTCGTCCTTCAATTTTGAGCATTTTTCTTTTATACGTTTTATTAGCTTTTCACAGAGTTCTTCTCTAACTTTAATGTCACTCTTGGTGTTTTCTTTGCTTTTGCACAAAGTTTCCAACCCATTCTCTGCCTTTTTCAATTGTGTACAGTATATATTAAGTGTATTGTTACATTCTCCTACGTTTGATAAACTACCTTTCAATTCTTCTACAACTTTATTTTCTAAAGCTTCTTTTTCAAGGAATGATTTGCACTTTTTATTGAGTTTTTTGCATTGCCCATCTTTTCCTCCGTTTTTAAGTTTTTCACAATTTTGCTCGTACTTTTTACAATATGGAGCCCAAAATTCACATATTTTTTCCTCTTTTTTAGCTATTTCACTTATAACGTTCATAGTTTCCATATGTCCTTTCAATATATTACATTTAGATTCAACATTTCTAGTGATCTTTTTGCAAACAAGTTCCAAGTCAGAACAAGCCGAAAAAAATTTATTATTTTCTCTTCTAAACCATTTTTCACATCGTTTCTTAGCTTCTTCTTTGCAGCTATTTTCATCTTTTAAATATCCTTTATTTTCTTTTAGCAACTCCTCTTCTAAGTGCTCTATGCTCTTCAGCCGATTGCAATGCTGTTTTAACGTATAACATGACCATTTAATTTCTCTTGAATCTTTTCCTAAGACCTCACATTTTTTCTCTAATTCTTTACAATCCTTTTCTGTTGGAAAATCTCGTTTTTCGTTCAAATGCTCTTGCAAAGCAACTGCCCTCATTCGCAAATCTGTTGACACTGTAAGAGCCGTTTTTATTGGGTTCATACATAGTACAAATAATTCATCACTTTCTCCTTTCGTCTTTTCACAAACTTTTACCAAGTTTTTTTGAAGGGTTTCAAGCCATGTTCTATTTGAACCTTGCAATTTTCCCCGTAACTTATCTTGTAATGCTTCATTTGCTACTGCTTCAAGCCCTTTTTTATAACATGCTGCTTTTAAGTTATTGCAGGGCTTTTCAAGTGGAGCTTGGCTTTTCAAATAAAAACAATCCGACAACAGTTTCGTACACTCTCTTTCACCAAGAAATGTATGCAACATATGCCAACCAATAATTTCCTTTACATTAGCTGGAGCGAAATATTTCTCAATCCTTTTAGAAACAGTTAAAATACGGGTTGTTAACTCCTTATTTAGTTCTTCGCATTTTTCTTTTGGATTATCAGTGATAGTCTTATTACTACATAAATCTTTTAAAATAATATGCTCTTTAAAGTTTCCACATTTTTTTTTAATAACATCTTCACATTGATCTTTAAAAGTATTTTGAGCATCACTCTTGCTTAATAATGCCAATAAAGCGACTTCATCTTTTATTGATGGCCTTCCAATATGAATTCCCTTTTTCACTGCTTCTACGTACAATTTTTCTAGGTCTATTTCTTCTGCTAACCTAATCTTTAATTTCGTAGGATCAAAGTGTGAACCTGGTGCTGCATAAACGAGATTTTCCTTTTGACATTTGCTTGCAAACTCTTTACACTTTGGCTGATCTGTTTCACAGTTTGACCCATAAAAGTAACATTCTTCAAGAAATAATAAACATTTTTCTTTTAATAAATCTTCCTTTCCAAGCACTAGATCAATTCCTTCTTTGAGAGGTTTGCATTTGTATTCTTTCTTAGATACAAGATCTCCACACGTTTTTTCTTCGTCAAGACATAATTTTATTAGCTCATCACTTTCTTTGTTGAATTCTTGACAAACCCCCTTTAACTTATTTTTGCATGTGTTTTTATCCTTAAGGTTCCCTCTAAGTACTCTTAAAAGAGCTTTTTCTGCTACGTCGTCTCGTTTTTTTTGATAACATTTATTCCTCAGTTCATTACATTTATCTTTAAGTTCTGTTGGACATGCTCCCTCCAAAAACAGGCATTGTCGTTCATTCTTCTTACAATCATTATCTTCTAATGTTGAAGCTCCCTTTTTGACTGCTTTATCAAGTTCTGTTTGAAAACTAGTACACTTTGCTTTAACCTTTGTTTCTGATTCTTTGCATTTTGCTTCTATTGTTTTATCATCTTTGCAGATTCCGTCTAACTTTTCTTCTAGTTTTTTTGGTTCTTTTGTTACATTTTTTAAAACTTCACAATACTCTTTCAACCTTTTTTTACATTTATCATTATTTTCATACTCATTTTCTAAAATCAAAGCCAAAAGATATTCTTCTTCAACACTATTCTGTGCTGCAGCCCGCCGCTTGACCGCCCGCGCCACCGCCCGCGCCAAGCTGTGCCTGACGGGGGTGGGCTGCGCTGTGGTGTGTGGCTGAGTTTGAGTTTCCATTAACGTGTTTCGGTTGCATGTCAGGTGTTAGTGCCATGTCTTCAAATTTGAATATTAAACTATTTCTAATTAATTATAGAGTTTTCAAGTAAATTCTGTGATGAAACAGGTATAGTGTGTGCTGAAGTATATCTTTAGTGTGTCCATACAATATTCTGATGTTTGAATATCGTAGTATTTAAATTTGTGTGGGGTAAATGTGGGGTAATCGTAAAATCTGAATAGATAAAAAGTAGAATATAAAAGAACATAAATGAAAAATAAAGGCTATGCAAGCGAAAAATATGGGACAACTGGCTAGGGGACACGTATTCTTTTGGTTATAATGCACTTTCAATTGATGCTGAAGAGATCATACTCTACTCTTTCCTCTCTTACCCTGCCTTCTTATCTAGTAAATATACATGCTGTTCTTATATCCCATTCTCATTTTACATCTAAATCATGAATGAAATCATCATTGCTAATAACACCCCCCTCATCACACTCCACCCACTCATCCTCAGCCCTTCACTCGGCTTCACCTCTCCTGCATCATCTTCCTCTCCTGTCGTACACTTCGTAGGCTTACACCGCCTCGTTGAGGTGAGTGTTATTCTCGATGTGACTGTGGACGTAGTCGTAGAAGTGCTAGTATGGGTCGACGTCTTTGTGACCCACGTGTCTGTCGTCTGCAGAGATTGGCACTCTGCAGTCTTTCCTTCTCCTTCTGTCTTTGTTGTTGTTGTTGTGGTAGTGGTCGTTATGTTTTTAGTTACTGTCTCTATTTTATATGGTTTTACTTCCAATGGTTCTATTTTTGAACATATTTTTTTTATCTCTTTGCATTGGCTTTCACATTTACACTCTTTTTTAAATCCGCATCCTTTTAGTAAATCATGGCATATCTCCCTTAATTCTACATAGAGTCCAAACGCTTGTGCTACTAAATCAAATGCTTTTGCTTCGTCTTCTGTTACTTTCACTGTTGCATCTCTTCTTATAAGTCTAAACGACTTTGTGTCTTTTGCTCCGCTGGGTACGGCTGGTGCATTAGGCACAACTTCGTTTGCTGATTTATTGTTTTCTATTTTTGCTTTTGATAAAACAAGACTTGCTTTTTTCATTGCTTCTTCTGCTTTCTCTTTAACATCTTTGTATTCTTTTTCTTTTTCAACTAACACTTCTTTTGTTTCTTCAAGTTCCTTTTTCAATCCTGGACATTTTTCTTGTACCCGTTCAACCAGCCTCTTACAAGTCTCTTTCCTTACTTTTTCCTTAGTAGAATTATTGCTCTTGCACAGAGTTTCAAGCCCATTAGTCGCATTATTCAATGCTACACAGTATTTTTCAAGAGTTCCCTCACAGTCTGTATTAGTCGACAAACTACCTTTGAATTCATCAATTGCTTTATCTTCTAATTTTTTCTTCTCAAAAAACAATTTACATTTCTCATTAAGTTTTTTACATCCTTTTCCTTTATTTTTCTCAAGCTCATTACAACTTGGAGTGAATTTTTCACAATATGGAGTCCAAAACCTACAATATTCTTCTTTTTTTTCTGCTTCTTTTACAACGTCATGAATTGCCATATGTTCTTTTAATGCGTTGCATTTAGAATTAAGACTTTCATTAATCTTTTTACAGGTAACTTCTAAAGTAGAACATGCATAAGAAAATTTAACATTTCTTCTTCTAATCCATAGTTTGCATAGTTCCTTGGTCTTTTCTCTGCAAATAGTTTCATTTTTCAAGCCTTCTAGCTTTTTTTCCAATAACTTATTCTCCAAATATTCTATACTCTCCAGTCGATTGCAATGTTGACTTAATGTATAACATGGCCACTTAATTTCGCTTGAATCTTGACCTAGAACATTACACTTTTTTTCAAGCTCTTTACAATCTTCTTTCGTCGGATAATCTCGTTTATCATTTAATTGTTCTCGCAAAGCAACTGCCCTCATTCGCAAATCTGTTGACACTGTAAGAGCCGTTTTTATTGGGTTTATACATAGTACAAATAACTCATCACTTTCTCCTTTCATCTTTTCACAGACTTTTACCAAGTCTTTTTGAAGGGTTTCAAGCCATGTTTCATTTGAACCATGTAACTTTCCTCGTAACTTATCTTGTAATACTTCATTTGCTACTGCTTCAAGTCCTTTTTTATAACACGCTGCTTTTAGGTTATTACAGAGTTTTTCAAGTTGACTTTGGCCTTTCAAATAAAAACAATCTGACTGTAGTCTTGTACACTCTTTTTCAGTAAGAAACGTTAGTAATTTATACCAGCTAATTATTTCGTTTGCCTTATTTCCAAGATGTCTGTTTATCTTTTCAGAAACAATTAGAGTGCGTTCTGCTAATCTTTCATCTAATTTATTACAAATTTTTTTCCCTTCTTCAGTTATGTCGCTATTATTTGTACATAAATCTCTTAGAATTTTATGTTCTTGAGGATTTTTACAGTTATTTTTGAGGATTTCCTCACATTTTTTCTTTCTTTCACCAACCTTACCTGAATCACTCAAATGCAAAGTTGATAAAGCTAGAAGAGTAATCGCATCTTTTGCATATGTTCTTCCAATATAAACACCTTTTTTTATTGCTTCCGTATAAAGTTCCTTCAAGTCTATTTTCTCTGCCAATGTAGTCTTTGGTTTTGTAGGATCAAAATCTAAACCTGGTGGTATATAAGTAATCTTTGCATTTTCGCATTTTGTTGTCAATTCTTTACAGTTTGGTTTATATTCATCTTTGCAGCTTGGTTCATAAAAGTGGCATTGTTCAAGTAATGATCTGCATTTTTCTTGAAATTTATTATTTAATGTTTTAATTTCTGTTTTAAGAGTATTACATTTATTTTCCCCTTTCTTTAGGAGATCTTCACACGTTTTTTCTTGATAAAGACACCGTTTCATTAATTCATCACTTTCATCGTCCAATTCCTGACAAACCTCCTCAAGCTTCTTTTTGCATCCTGCATCATTCTTAAGGTTTCCAGAAAGCGCCCTTAAAAGAACTTCGTCTGCTGTTTCATCACGTTTCTTTTGATAGCACGTATTTCTTAACTCGTTACATTTATTTTTAAGATCATTAAGGCATGCTTCTTCTAGAAACAAACAATCTTGTTCATTTTTTTTGCAATTAACAGTTGATGGGTTTGTTAATGTTTTTTCAATTTCTTGTTTTGAATTCTGACATTTCTTTGTTATTTTATCTTTTAGATCTTTGCATTTTCCTTTTATTGTTTCACTATCTTCACATATTTTTTCTAGTTTTGAACTTATTTTATTCAGTTTTGGATCAATTTTTTTTAAGTTTCCACAATATTCTTTAAGTTTTGTTTCGCATTTATCAGTGGTATCCATTTCTTCTTTTAAGATGAAAGCTAAAAGATTTACTTCATCATCTTGTGTTCCCTGTGCTTGTGTCTGCCGCTTAACCGCCCGCGCCACCGCCCGCGCCAAGCTGTGCCTGACGGGGGTGGGCTGTGCTGTGCTGTGTGGCTGAGTTTGGGTTTCCACTAATGTGTTTTGGTTGCATGTGAGATGTTAGAACCATGTCTTCAAATTTGAATTATTCTTAATTAATTTTAAGGGTGTTCAAGTAAATTCAGTGACAAAACTTGTCAGACAAGCACTGTGTGTGCAAAGTATATCTTTAGTGTGTCCATAGAATTATTATGATACGTGCTTAGTATGTATTTAAATTTATGTGGGGTAAAATGTGGGGTAAACGCGAGATAAACGTAAAAATCAATCAGTGGCGATAAATGATAAAAAAACAGTATATACAGAAATAAAGGCTATTTAGACAAAGAATAGTGGTCAATTAGATAGGGAACACGTGATTTCATGTGTAATGCACTTTCAATTGATGCTGAAGAGATGACTCAATTTACCTTACTCTTTCCTCTCCTACCCTGCTTGCTCATCTAGTAAATATACATGCTCATCATTAAATCTTGCTCATTTGCTTTCTAAATCATAAACGAAATAACCATTGCTACTATCACCCCTTTTATTACATTCCACCCGCTCACCCTCAAGCCTTCACTCGGTTTCACGTCCTCTACATCATCCCCTGTGGTACACTTTGTAGGCTTGCATCGCCTCGTTGATGTGAGTGTTATTTTTGATGTGATTGTAGATGTGGTGGTAGATGTGCTTGTGTGTGTCGATGTCTGTGTAACCCATGTATCTGTTGTCTGTAAGGATTTGCATTCAGATGCTTTCGGATCGGTAACGGTTGTTGTTGTCGTTGTTGTTATTGTCGTTGTCGTTATAGTCGTATTCTTTGCTGTTATTTCTTGCGAGTTTATTTCTAGTGGTTTTAATCCAGCACATATTCCATCTATTTTTTCACATATTTCTACGGCGTTACACTCCTTTCTGAATCCACAATCTTCTTTTAGATGGTGGCATATTTCCTTTAATTCTACATATAAATTAAACGCTTGTGCTACCAAATCGAATGCTTCTAGATCTTCTTTTGTCACTTGTATTTTTATATCTCTTTTCATAAGTTTAAAATGTGTTAGATTTTTTACTTTGTTAAGTGAATTAGGTACATTCTTACTTCCTGATTTATCGTTTATTGCTTTTGTTATGGATAAGACAAGATTTGCTTTTTTCATTGCTTTTTCTGCATTATCTTTAATGATTTTATATTCTCCTACTTTTTTTTCTAGCCCTTTTTTTACTTTTGGAAGCTCCTTTTTCAACTTAGGACATTTTTTTTGTACTCTTTCAAGTAGTTTCAGGCACAATTCTTCTCTAACAGTTTTATTTTCTTTTTTGGTCTTAGTATTATCCATACACAAAGTTTCGAGTCCGTTATTTGCATTATTTAATTGCGTACAATATTGATCAAGAGTTGTTATACAATTGTTTTTATTGTCAAGATGTCCCTTAAATTCTATCATAACTGCATCTTCACGATCTTTTCGAACACGATACGGTTTACAATTCTCTTTAAGTTCTTTGCATTTTTTATTATTTCCGTCTGCATTTGTTAGATTTTTGCAACTTGACATGAACTTATCACAATATGATTCCCAAACACTACAAATTGATTCTCTTTCATCTTCACTCTTTGCCTTATTCACAATATTTTCCGTTTTCATATGTTCTTCTAATGCTGCACATTTAGATATAACATTTTTTGTGACAATTTTGCAAGTAATGTTCTGTGATAGACATGCAAGAATAAACTGTGATCTTCCTTTTTTGGCCCAACTATTACAATGTTCGCCAAGTTTTTCTATACATGAATCGAACTCATCCAGGCCTTTTGTTTTTTCTTCCAACAATTTTTCTTCCAATTGTTCTGCAATTCTTAAACGATCACAATGCTCATTCAGTGTACGACACGGCCACTCAATCTCTTTTGAATCTTCACCTAATGTTCTACATTTTTCTTCTAGCTCTTCACAATCCTTTTTCGTTGGGAAATCTCGTCTTTTGTTCAAATCATTTCGCAAAAAGACTGCCTTCATTCGAAGGTCATATGAAAGTACTCGAGCCGCTCTTGCAGGATTTGTGCACAATACAAATAACTCGTCAGTCCATTCTTTAAATTTCTTACATTCTTCTACAAGTTTTTGTTGAAATTTATTAAGCCATATTTCTTTTGAACCATGCAATAGTCCCCTCAATTTGTCTTGCAACACTTCATTTGCTATTGCATCAAGTCCTTTTTTATAACATGCTGCCCTTATATTCATACATTTATTTTTGATATCTGAACAAGCTTTTTCATAGTAAAAGCAATAAGATTCTAGCTTTGCACAATCTTCATTGCTAAGAAATGTCGGTAACTTTTCCCACATAATAATCCCAGTACTTCCTTTTGTTACGTCGTAGAGATGATTATTGAGAACTTTTGATTTGAAGATTTTGCAAGTTTCTTTAATATCATCTTCTAATTCTTCACATTTCTTTTCCCCAACTTTACTTAGTTCTTCTCCCTGGCATAAATCTTTTAGAATCCCTTTTTCTTTAGGATCTTTGCATTTATCTTTAAGAATTTTTTTGCATTTCTCATTTTTATTAGACTGATTCTGACTTGAATCTAAAATTAACAATGCCAATAAGTCTGTTGCTTCTACTGGCGGTGGCTTTCTAATAAAAATCCCTTGTTCTGCTGCCTTTTCATAAAGTTCTTTTAGGCCTATTTTCTCTGCCAAAGTGGGTTTTGATTTTGTAGGATTAAATTCTGAACCCTGTATGGTATAAATAAAACCTTTTTTTTTACATTCATTTTCAAGATCATTACATTTTGGCTTGTCCGCACCTTCACAGTTCTTCCCATAAAAATAGCACTTTTTGAGTAATAAAAGACACATTCCATTAACAGTACTTGTGAGTAAGGTATTTACTGGTATTTTTAAAGAACTACATCTTTTTTCTGCTATTTTCTCTAATGATTGACATGTTTTTTCCTGGTTAAGACACATTTTCATTATTTCATCACTTTCTTTGCTTAATTCAAGACAAACTTCTTTAAGCTTCTCTTTGCAGTTTCCATTTTTTTTAAAGCTTCCATTAAGTGCTCTCAAAAGAGCTTTTTCTGCAACATCATCACGTTCCATTTGATAACATTCATTTCTCAACTCATTACATTTATCTTTAAGGGTAGGACATGCTCTTTCTAAAAATAGACATTGCTTTTCTTCCTCACTACAATCATATTGTTGATTTTTTAATAATTTTTCAAGTTCTGTCTCAAAATGAGTACATTTTTGAGAGACCTTAGTTTTCAATTCAATGCATTTTTCTTTTTCTTTTCCAGTTTTACAAATATCTTCAAGTTTTTTGTGAATCTCTTCAGGTTGTAATTTTGCATTTTTTAGTCCTTTACAGTATGTTTCTATCTTTTTTCTACATTCTTCATCATTGTTATAATCCTTTCCTACAATTAAAGTAAAAAGATGAATTTCTTCATCTGCTCCTTGCACTACTTTCTGTGTCTGCCGCTTAACCGCCCGCGCCACCGCCCGCGCCAAGCTGTGGCCGACGAAAGTGGGTGGGTTGCGTTGTGGTGTGTGGCTGAGTTTGAGTTTCCATTAGCGTATTTTGATTGAACGTGAGATGTTAGAACCATGTCTTCAAATTTGAATTATTCTTAATTTTAAGGGTGTTCAAGTAAATTCAGTGACAAAACTTGTCAAAGAAGCTGTGTGTGCAAAGTATATCTTTAGTGTGTCCATACAATTATTGTGATACATGCTTTACTACACGTATTTAAATTTGTGTGGGGTAAATGCGGGGTAAATGTGGGGTAATCGTAAATCTTAATAAGTGAATAGTATAAAAGGGCATAAACAAGAAATAAAGGCAATTAAAAAAATATAAGATAGTTATCTAGGAAATTTTTATAATATTCTTCAGTTATATTATCACAAATATTAGAAAAATCAGAAAATTCTCACTAGAGTATGCATCGAACACGACAGTTATAATGGCTTTTTTTTAAATAAAATTTTTCATTTGATATACATGTTTTAATATTATTAGAATATCTTCTAGTTCTATTAAAGCTAGCTATAATCTTATTTTTAAGATTATCGTACTTTTCATTCTTCTTGATTCAATATTTTTATGCATAAAAAATAATGTTATTTTAGATTTTTTATTCTAATTTTATTTTTTATTTGAAACTATTTTATATCGTTTTACTTTTACTTATTTTTTATATCTAGTTTTATCAAGTTAAAATCTAAATTCAAAACCATATAGTTTTTCGTATTCTTTTATGTTTTTTGTTTTTAGAATTTAAATTGCAAAAATATTTTTCAAGTAATGATAATTATTTTTTAAAAAATATTGAGGTTTTCAAGTATTTTATTAGTTTTCAATTTCAAGATTGTTTTTTTAGTTATTTATACATGTTTTTTTGCATATTTTTTACACTTATAAATTTTATACAGTTCGATTAGTTTCAAGAAATCTTTTTCAGTTTGAATTTATGGCTTGTAATTTTATTTTTAAATTTGTGCATTCTTAAATTATTTTGTCTTGGAAATTTAAATATTTATTAAGCTTTTTAATTCTTTATATACTTTAAATTTTATATTATTAAATTCATGGTATTTTTTAATTTTTCTTTCTATATTGATATTATATTTTTAAGACTGTTAAATGTATTTTGTTCTATTATACAAAATAGTTTTTTAGTATAAGAAAATGTCGATCCTTAAAATCTAAATTTTGATTGTCAAAAAGTTAGGTTAATTTACAAAAAGAATTGTTTTAAAAGAGATAATACTTTTAGGAAATAAATAAATAAATCCAATATATTCAGTCGTATCTATATTTCCAATAGTTTTACCAGAGATGAATTGCAAAATGAAAAAATCGTCTTTTAAACTATGATTAACCATTAAATATCAATGTCCCAAAAATTATGATTCACTAATTAGCTCGATATCTACAAAATAATAGTTTCTATATTTATTTTCCAAAAATATTTAAATAAATCTTATGAATAATCATTAGTTTTACATAATTATCGTTAAAAATGCCCCAGAAAAATATTAGTAAATATATATTGTTTTAATCTTAAATAATTATCCATAGTCCTAATATTATTTCCACAATCTCAAAAATCAATTTTATCATTTGTAATCTCTGTGCTCTGAGTCCATAACCTTCTCCATAGTCATCCCGTGACATTGTTGGTCTAGGTCTTGAACGTGTGGATGTTGATGATTGTGTAATTGATGTATCTGTAGGTGTATCTGTAGGTGTATCTGTAGGTGTATCTGTAGGTGTATCTGTAGGTGTATCTGTAGGTGTATCTGTAGGTGTATCTGTAGGTGTATCTGTAAGTGTATCTGTAAGTGTATCTGTAAGTGTATCTGTAGGTGTATCTGTAGGTGTATCTGTAGGTGTATTTGTAGGTGTATCTGTAGGTGTATCTGTAGGTGTATCTGTAGGTGTATCTGTAGATGTGTCTGTAGATGTGTCTGTAGATGTGTCTGTAGATGTGTCTGTAGTTGGTATACGTGTAGTTGGAGAACTTGATGTAGTTGGCGGAGCTGCAATTGATGAATTTGTAGTTGGTAAATTCGTAGTAAAGCTTGTAGTTGAATTTGTCGATTTTGGTTTTGGCTTTGGTTTAGGTGGTTTTGGCTTTGGTTCTGATGGCTTTGGCGGTGTTGATGGCACAGGTGGCTCCGGTGGTAGTGATGGTGGTTGTGGTGGAGGTAGTGGCGGTGGTGGTTGTGATGGAGGTAGTGGCGGTGGTGGTGGTTGTGGCAGTGGTGATTTGCACTCAACAGTAAACTTATTACATACAGAAGAAACTTTATCGTTAATCCCAGAACAAGAAGACCCTATAGATGAACATAAAGATTTTATTTTTTTACACTCTGTGTCAGAACCAGATTTAGTATGATAATATATAAATGCTTTTAATACAAATGTATCACATATTTTTTCTAAATATGATATTAAAGTTTCACATTGAATAGAACTGTTGCATTGTTTTTTCTTTTGGTCTGCAGAATTTTTGCATTTTTTCATTTTTTCATTACATTCAGAAACATTAGATATTCCCCCAAGTATCTTAGCTAATATATTAAGTTCTTTATTTTGGTTTAAGACATTGGTACATGTTTTTAGAACTCTAGAACATGGTTCGTGTAAAGAATTAAAACAAACCTGTTCAAGTAGAGTACATTGATAAGTGAAATAATAGCAACGTTTATAATTGATATATGAGATTTCATTAAGGATATATTCATAAGTTGTTAAACGCTGCAATAATTGTTCACAATCGTTTCTAACTTTATTTAACATGTATTCACATTTATCTGTTTTATTAGTACATAGATAATTTATATCATTTTTGTTTTGTGAGCAATATGTAGAAAGATAATCTAAACAAGTTTGATTATTTTGAAAAACATGTATTTCATTCCTCAATATAATAGATGATTTAAATGCTATAAGCTCATCCATATTATTACAATGTATTTGAAGCTGTTTACATAATTTTACAGTAGATTCGAAACATGATTTTAATTTATTACATTCTTCTTTTTGTTTTTCACAACTGTGTGTAATATTTCTGTTTGTCTTTTTTAGTATATTCTCCAATTTTTTGCAATGACTATCGAGATATGTTATTAATCTTTTACACGTTTCTTCTGGATGTAAACATTTAAATAGTATAAAATAATTGTGATACATAAACTTTTTACATACAAGGAAAAGATAAATTTTGCAGTGACCTTCACTTGGTTCACGCCATAAAGTTCCATCATATTCAGCTACTAATTTAAACATTCCATTTAGTGTTTCCATTAAAGCTATTTCAGCAGCTGTTTTTAAGCCTAGTTGATAACAAGAAAGTCGTACTGTTTTGCATACACTTGGTCCAACAAAATGTTCGACATATTTATTAACAAGATAACACAATAATAAATACTTTGTACACTCTTCTTCTGAAAAAGAATATTTTGAAGCTGATAAAAAACCAAAACTAGTAAACTTTTCAAAATATTTTTCAAAATAATCCTTATTCTTATTATATATGTCCTTACAAGCTTCATAGTTGTTACTATTTAACTCTTTAGTACATACGGATTTATAAAGAACTAAATGATTTAGTGAAGGACACATTTCATTTAATATTTTTTCGCAATAATCAGTATCTGAATTAATTTTTTGAATCAAAATATCAACGAGTACTGTATTCGAAAGCGTTGATACTTTGGCAACATAGATACCTAATTCATTTAATTTCTTATAAGCATATTGAACAATATTTTTATATTTATCAGTAGGTGATTTTTCAAAAAAATCAATATCAAAATTTATTAGAAAATTATAAAAAATGCCTTTTTCCGCACAATCTATTTGAAATGAACGACATTTATGATAAAGTTGTGGACAATCTAAAATAGCTTTGTAGCATTTATTTAACCAAAACATACAATTTCCGTTTGTTATTTCTTTCTGTTTTAATAAAAATTGAGTATGAAGATTTTTGCAACTTTTTTCATATATTGAAACAAATTTCTTACAAATATCGCCAGCATTAATACACAAATAAAATAATTCAGGGCTTTCTTGACTAAGTAATAAACATTCTTTTTTTAGTTTTTTTAGGCAAATATCTATTTTATTTGGAGTTCCTTTTAAAAAATGATAGATAATTGCCTCTGCTACTCCTAGACGAACTTTATTATAACAATGCTCTCTTAGTTCTTTGCATTTTGAACTAAGATCTAGATCATAATGTTCTAGAAAAAAACAATGTTCTTGTAATAAAACGCATCGATCGTTTTCATTAATTGATGTGTTTGAAAAAATTTGAATAATTTTTTTTACTTCTACATTTATTTTATTGTGTAAAGAACCACATATTGTTCGAACATTCTTGCAAATATAAATAATATCATCATTCAACGTATTTATAGCAGCATCATTGCAGACTTTCTGTAGATTTTTTTCACAGTTAAGATTAAATTCATTTGAAGTTAGTATAGTAACAACATAATAGAAATGCTGATTATGAATACTTAGATTTTTAAGTCCTAGATTATTAAATGCTTGTTCTAATAGATTATAATATTGTGTAATTCTAACTGCATCTGAAAACAATGGATGTTTATCATGTAATGGAGAATAAGTTTGAATAAGATCTAAGAAATTAAAATTAAATCAAAAAAAAATAAAAATTACCTAAAATATTTTCATTTTCTGAAAAAACATTTTTTATATTAAGAAAAATTAGAAGAATACATACTTTTATAAGCAGTCGCATAAAAGAAAAAGGGATCGAAGGAGATTATTATTTTATAATTAAATGATTTAAAAATGTTAATAAAAATGATTGAGATATTGTAAAAATAATTCACATATATGTCATTGGTAATCGATAATAAAAAATAATAAATTAATGAATATTTTTATAACTGTAATTTACTTGGAATAACGTATTTTGATAAGCTTTAAGGTATTTATTAATTTTGTAAATTTATTTTAAAATACTGAGCTCTAATTCATTTAAGTTTAAAAGATTAATTATAAATTTTTTAATTTTTTTATTGAAAACATTATATTAATAAAAAAATATACTTAGATATTTTTTATATAAAATATTTTCTATTTAATTCCAAGATTAAGATTATTATTGGTCCTTTGAAAGATTATTAAACACAAAGTTGATGGTAATAAGATTCGGTATTTTTCTTTGATTTCCCTTTTTTTTCTATTTATTTAACTGTTTTTAAACTAAGTTTACTTAGTTTTAAACTTATATTTCTATAGTTTTTATTTTTTTTCCGAATTTGTACATTTATATTTCGTACTTTTCTGAATTTATGAATATTTTTATGTTCATTCGGAATAAGTTTATTTCTTATTTAAAATTAATCTTAATGAAAAATATATTAATTTTTATGTTTTATTGATTTAATTTTTATTTTTTAGATATATAGATTATAGTTAAATAATTTTTTTTATTATTTTGTTCTAAACATATAAAAAATAAGCATTACTGTATTGAATTATTTATTTATATAATGTCTTTAGTAAAACTCTTTTATATACAATTTGATATTGAGAATTTGTTAATAAATCATTTGATTTTTAAACCTGTAACTTGTATTTTTAATAGCAATTTTAATTTCAAATTTAATAATAACGGCTTATTATAATTTTTTTGGATATCCTCAGAATATTCTAATAAAGTTATAAAAACTTTTAAAAGTATTTTTTAAAATTAGAAATAAAATTTATATTTTTTGTCTATAAATGTAAAAATTATTAGAAAAATTTAGCTTGAAAAATATAATCAATGCATAATTCATGTTTAGATTCGAATTTCAATTAATAATATTAAATTCAAACTTAATAAAATTGAAAATAAAATTCAGTTTTATATTTTAATTTAATTTATATTAAAAATGTTATTTGAATTTTTAGATAAAAAATAAATTTCTCTGTTTAATTATTTAGAAGAGTATTTAGAATCTTTAAATTTTATTCGAATATTTTATTGATTTTAAGAATATTATTTATAATTTTGTAAATTTATAAATATTTATTTTAACATCGTTATATAGATCATTTTTATAAATCATTACCTTAAATATTTTTATTAAATATTCTTTTTAAAAGCATTACGATTATATAAATCTTTATGACCATGTTTTAAGATATCTCTTATAATTAAAATGTATATATTTTAATATAAATAAAATTAAGAGTAAAATATATAATAATAATTTTTCAATTAGGGTGTGCTCTTAGTCTTCTTTACTATATATTTGAATATCTTACAAGGTATTATAATGTGAAGTAAATTAAAGGTAAACATTGAATTAAACCTAAAAGTAAAGATAAAAAATATAGCATAAAAAGCAAAGACAATAAAAAGAGACTGATCAAATAAATGACACGTATTATACAGAAAAAAATGTTTTTTTCTTTTGTTAAAATACACTTTAAATTAATATAGAAGATATCATTTTTTAGTTTATTCTCATCATTTTATTTATCTATTTATTAAATATATATTTTTTGTTTTAAATCTTTATATATTTTTTAAATATTCAGTTGGAAATACTTTGCATTTATTAGCACCAATATAACTTTTTAAAAGATTAAAACAAGTTTTATTATTTAACAAATCTTCGTAAGATATTAAAAATTTTATTTTCTAAATTTAAAAATAAACTTTAATTTTGAAAAATATTAATCTAGCAGAACAATAATTTCTATTATTTATTAAATTATATTTATAACAAAACAATATTTCATATGGTTTAATAATGAAAACATGTTCATGTATTAACTTAATTTTTAATACTTAAATTTTGACTTAACGATTTTTAATAGTAGATCTATAATTACTATTCTAATTAATGTCTTTAGAAAATATTTTTTATGAAACATTGGATGGAAAATAAAAAATAATTTACATTTTTTTAATAATATTATTATTAAAATTAAAATTTTATGCTTTATTAAAAAACAATTATTTATATTTCATTTTAAAGATGTAATCTAAAACTTAAAATGAATTTATTTTTAGAACTAGGTCAATTTTTAGTAAATCCAAAATCAGTGTCATTTCCGAAAAAATATTCAAAACTATCTTGATGAAAACATATTTCATTTACCCTATCACACATATGCTTAGAATTATCAAAAACAACAGAGAATACAGCACATTTGGGAGAATAAAGCGCACATTCTGGCAAAGAAAGTTTTCCATCTTCACTTGATAAGTTATTTAGAAAACCAGTAAAATCATATTTAAAATAATAATAAAGCATTCGAGAAATATTAAGGGGGTGTAAACACCATCCAAAAAATAACTCATTTGTAGTACCAAAAGTAGAGCATAATTCTAAAATATATGGATATAGTCCAGTAAAGGTTTTTGGATGCAAAAGATCTGAAACACCCAAACCTTGTGATGTCATGTGTTTTTTTATTTTATCCCAGAACTTATCCAAATAATAACTCTCCCTATTATGATTATAACATAAAGAATTTAGATTTCTACATGGGCCTCTAAGTTCAGGACATAAATGGCCATAATAGTGACACTTTGCCATTAAAGTTGCACATTCACCTACAGAAATAAAATCGTGATGCGCACCACGGTATAACTTAGGGGGATCACCGTCTTTACGAACAAGCCCTAATTTATGAAGCTTTTTCTTTAAATCAGTACAAGCTATAGTTGCTTTAGTATCTAAATTGTCACATTCCGAAAAATTGCTATTACAGTGACTATGCAGAACAGGAAATACCCCCCTATAATATTCACAATATCTAAAAGAAAATGATTGGCATCTAGCTTGCATATTACCACGATGTTGCATTAATGAAACTAGAAATAACAAAATATCAGGAAGACTCGGGTATCCAAATGGAAATAGAAGATGATTATCATGTAATTTATGAAAAAAAGCATCCAAATCCACATTACTATAAGCTGATGCACAATCACCTAGACTAACTTTGGTCGTTGAATGCTCAATTGAATTATCTTGAGTGCATTTTTGTTTTATACGTTGACAATGCTTTCTTGTTTCTGAATTATCACAGTATGATAAAAAATCAATACAAGGAGGAAACGACGTGCAATCGGTTTCCAATGTGTTGTCTGAAGTATCCAAAGACTCTTCTGAGTTTTCTGAATCACCTAGGGTTATTCCATAAATAGCAGATTCAAGAGCTGAGCATTTCTGTTCTTTATGTTTCATAAGATTTTGACATGTAGCATCTACAAGAAGACAGGCATCTGCCATTGTAGGAGTAAGGGTACTAAGACATAGACATCTATCATGAAGCGATTTACGGCAAATCTCAGGATCACTAAGATCATTCTGCAAGACCTGAAGTAAAAATGAACTTTGATGGTCTTCACGACGTAAATCAAAACAATCAGTAGAAATTCTATTGCAAAGGACAGAAACGGATCCACCACAAATGGGTTCATAGACGCTACATAATGTTTCTAATTCGCTACATCTTCCTTTTAGTCTATCGGGCCCATTCTTTAGATTAAAGTTATTATAAATACTTGAAAGTATATTTTCAAGGTCAATACATTTTTTTTCAATCAATGTAAAATTAGTATGACGAGATTTAGTAGTTAAATGTTGACAAAGCTTATTTAATCCTTGTTTAATTTCACATATTTTCCTGAGTACAGTAGTAAAGGGTCCTTCTGGTAACTCCGGATGAAGTATTTCGCAAAGACTTTCTAGAAATTCTGTACATTGTTCTCTATCATTTATATTGCCTCCTAAGACTAAAGCAGAAATATCAACAGAATCCCTTAAAAAAGAAAAAAATGTATATGAAGCACTTGAACGCTTTGACACATGAAATGATGTTAAATAGTCAGATGAACTATAGTTTTCTAAATCAAAAAAATTAAATTTTTCATTTGATTCTAAAAAATGAAAATCAAAAGAAAACAAAAAAGGATGAAAATACCATGAACAGGAACACTCTTTGAGAAAGCAGACGAAATGATGCTTAAAGTTAGAATGATAGAGGTTTTCATTTATAAAAGACAATTTGTTTCATGAAGAATCGAATAATTAAATATTATTAATGTTAATTTGAAAATAGAATGATAAATCTATTTGATATCATCGTTTTAAGACTAGTTAATTTCAATATTTCTCTAAAAAGTTTAAGTTTTTCCATAGTTAATTTTTATAAAAATTATAATACAAAAAAAATATAATATTAAAATAATTTATAATATATTTTACTTTAAAGAATAATATTATGATATATTTGATTTAAATATATCTGTTCTAACTTTTTTATTATATATTATATATTTTTTCTTTATTTCATGTCAAATTTAATCATATTAATTTTCATTAACTATATCATTTTTTTCTAATTTTAAAGATATAAATTTCATTTTCTATCGTATATTTCTATTTTCAATAATTATAGTTAATTCGTATTTTTAACAGAATTGTTTTAGTTTTTACTTAGAATTCTCAAGACTTCGAAAATTTTAATCTGTTTTATTAAAAAGATAAACGTTGCCGAAACCAAATTCTTGATATTTATTTGAATATATTCGTGTTTATATATGTTTTATATATTCATCTTTTTTAATATTTTTAATTTTTTAACTTTTTATTAAAATCTATCGATTTATCTTACTGTATCTTTAGTGTATTTTAATTGTTATAAATGATAACATTTGTAAAAAAATATTTTTTATTTAAAAAAATTTTTAAATTAAATTTTTTAAAGATTTTTATTTTATTTTGTGTTAAACTTAATCCTAAAAGTATTATTAAAAATAAGTCTTAATCTTGATAGATTTAAGTTTGGAGTGTTCCATATATCATTAACGGATTGCCTGGTATCGACTTATTTTCACGGAAGAAACACGGAAAAAAACATGGAAAAGACACGGAGAAAATACAGGATAAATGTAAATCATTTTTTCGTAAACTTGAGATAGATTTAATGTAAATGATTAGGAATACGGGGGATATAGGAAATATAGATTAATTAGGCGAAAAATAAATATCAATAATATTTAGAGTAAACACTGGACTAATACAGAAGAAATTTTTTTATTTAATATACTTTCATTATATCATGTTTCTTCATCTTTTAAACATATATTTTCTTTCCTAAATATTATTTATTTGTTTTCAAATCATAAGTAAAATAATTATTATTATTAGACCTTTTATTGCACTTTATCCAGTCATTCTTAAGTTAAGTCTTCAATTAGCTTCACATCATCAGAATTATTTCTTGTATATTTTGCAAGCTTACATTTTTTTATTTTTTATAGAATTCAATGTCATTGTTGATGCAGCTGTAAATCCAGTTATAAACTTATTTGTGTATGCTAATCTGTCTATAATCTATTTATATATTATATTAATAAGTTTATATTTTTTTCTAATTATTTTTATATCTATAACAATCGCTGTTGTCTTGTATTTTCCACCATTATTTTATGTGATTTAAAATCTAGAGGCTTCAAATTATGAAATGTTTTTACAATTCTTCCATACATTTTCTTTAAATTTTTATAATCTTCTTTAATCTCATAACCTATCTCATAACCTGAAATTAATTTTTCATATCTTTATTTAAACTTCATTTTTTTTAATACTTTTTCTATCAAACAAAATATATCTACTTTTATTTCTATTAAGAGCATATTCTTAATTTTTCTTTACCATATTTTTGAACGTGTTAAGATATCTCAAAACCCATTTGATGTGATGTTTTTTTATTTTTCTTATTGTATTATTCATTGCTATATTAAAGATAAAATATAGCTATTTTTTTCATTAGTTTCTCTACCTATTTCTTAAGTTCCTCAAATACTTTAAAATCATTTTTTTGTATCTTTTTTAACCTGTTTTAATTTCTTTGGTAATTGAATGGTGAAAAAGATAAAAATTTGTTAATGATATTATTTATGTTATTCTTTAAGAATACCAACTATTTTCGATGTTTTTATATTTTTTTGAATATTTTGAGTGATTTCGTGCATTATCTAGCATTATTTTATATATACTTTAAAAAATATACAAAACAAAAACAATCATTACTTTTAGACTATTCATGACACTTTAAGTATTTAACCCAGTTTTTTGAGATCTTTAAATTATTTTTATATTCATTGAGTAAAAATTCTTTCAAATTTTTTATAATACTTAACTAATCAAATTATTGCTGTAATGTACAACATGGAAATCTAATCTTTTTTTAAAACCTCTAAGTTATCGCATATTTCTCCTAATTCCTTGTAATCTATTGAAAAATTTCATTTTTTATCCAAGTGCTGCAATAGAAAGATTAATTTTATTAAGAAATTATATATAAGTATCTGAACTATCATTATTGGTTATATACAATGAGCAAATAGTTTGTTGTTTGGAAAATATTGTATTCTTTTTTTCAGTTTTTCACTGACTTTTATTAATTTTCATTGGAATTCTTTATAGTATGTCTTATTTAAACTACACAATACTTAGTTATTTTTTCGCAATAAATTATCTGCTCATATATCGAGTCCTTTTTATAACATGTTGCTTTTATACTCCTGAATATTTTCCCATTTAGATAATTTTCTTTAAAATAAAAATATGTTTTAAATTTTCTATAATTTTCTTTACTAAGAAATGTTGACAATTTAAACAATTCAGTTGTGTAGATCAAAAAGAGTATTTTCAAAAATCGCTAGTTTGAAATTTGTAGAAGTTTTGTTAATATCTTTAATTTTTCGTGTTTTCCTTCCCATGATTACTTAGATTATTTTGTGTAGAAAAATTTTTAAAAGTTTTATGTTTTTAAGAGTTTTTACAGTTCTCTTTAAAAACCTTTTCAATTTTTTTTATTATTTTAATTCTTAAAATTTAGATCTAAAATCAACAGTATTAGTAATCTATTTTTTATATGAAGTCTTTTAATAAAAACTTCTTTATTATTTCTAATGTATCTCTATCTCTATCTTCAATCTAACTCTTAGCCTAATTTGATCAAAATTAGGCTCTGATATACAAATAATATTCTCTGTATATTTTTTTTCAAGTCATCTTGCAAAAGTAATACTGTTTGATGAAAAGCATTTCTTTTTAAACCTTTAAATGTGGTAACAATATATATTTTAAAAATATTACAGTTCTTCCTCATTTTAATATTCTTGCACATCACTTCCCGATTTAGATATGAGTATTAACTTATCACTTTCTTGACACAATTCTGGGTAAATTTTTAGCTTGTCGTTATATGCAGTTGATTTGTTAAGATTACCATAAAATAATTTCAAAAAAGTTTTGTTATTTTACCACATTTCTTCTGATAATATTTATTCCTCAATTTATTATATTTATTTTTAGGAGCATTAATGTATACTCTTTTTAAAAATAGGTATTATTATTATTTTTGTAATCATTATCTAGTAGATTTTTGTATATTTTTGAAGTTCTTTTTGAAGATTATTATATCTTTTGGATAATTCAGTTTTAAAATTTTGACATTCATTATAATACCCTTTTTTTATGTTTTTATAGTTTTAAATCTATCATATTTAATTCATAGTTTAAAATTTATATTTTTTAATTCTTTGTAGTAAATTCCCAAGTTTTTTTTTTTGCATTTTGGCTTTTTTAAGATATTTTTTGACAAAATCAAAGAAATTCTTCCCAATACTTTTGTGTTGTAACTCTTTTCTTAAGCATTTGTGCTATCTTTTGCGTCAAATCATAGAAAATATAAATGCGGGAGAAGAATTATGCAGACTGGTTAAAGTAAAGTAGATAAATTTTTAATGTAGAATTTCTATTTCATGTCATTCTTAGTAAAATATTAAAAAACATTGACAAATCTTTAAAGACATTTTTTATCAAAGAATGGTTCACAATGCATCACTTCTGTATTAATAATGATTTTCACGTATTTTTTTTTAGTAATAATATAAATATAATTTGAAAATATTTCAACGAAGATTCTTATCGAATCAGTTAAAATATAAATCTAAGTCTTTAAAATAAAATTAATTTTTAAGATATCTGTCAAGCAAGTTTAGGAAAACCAGAAACCAGTATGGATAAATGCATGCTAGATATGGAATAATTATCAAATATTCACCAATTCTTATTGGTTTATTTTTTTAGTATGCAGAACTTTATGATTTACGTAATAAGCAAGCTTTAGATTCTTTAGATTTAATTATTCTTCCTCATGTTATCTTATCCAATATTTGTACAATATTTTATATCTATATTAGAAGTATTTCTTAAATATTTTTAAGTTTTTATATCATATATGTGATTAGACGTTTTTATTGAATTCTTTTTTGAGCCTTTCATGTCTTTCTCTAGGAAATCTTCTTCTAAAGATCACTCTTTAGATTATCCTAAATTTTTTCTTTTATAACTTTAGAATTCAATATAAGTATTCATTATTTTTTTTAAATTATAACAAAAAATTCTTTCAAATCATAGTAAAGAAATATATTGCTCATATGCTAATATTTATTAATACTAATTTTGGTATTTTTATTCCTTTACTTAGTATCATTATCTTATTTGTTCTATTTTTGTCTTAAGGCTCTTTTGTTTGCATTAACTTCTATTGTGCATAGTATTGATTTTTATTTTTGTATTGATGCTGCTACTGATGCATTTATTTTCGTTTTTGCTGATATTGGCTTATCTATTATTTAAAAATAGTCTTTAAAGTGACACATATTTTTTATCCGTTATTATTATAACAAACTCCAGATATATCCTTTAGAAATTCAGCAACTATTATTAAGATAGATATTGTTGCTGGAGATGCACCATTAGAAAATATAAATTTCTTGTAATATTTGCATATTTCCATGTGTTGATTTTTAAACTCAAGATAGTCATTTTCAAAGATATGTTCTTAAAATGATTATAGATAACATTAACCCTAGATACAACTTTATAACCAAAGGTACAAAATAAAATACTAATCCTTTATGTGCTGATAATGCATGTCCAGGATATCTTCATAATATAAAACCTAATATAAACAGTGATATTGTTATAGATATTGCTGTAAATATTAAGACAATAACTATTCTTTTTTCTGCTTATTAAAAAGTTTCTGAGAATTAACTTAAGCTATTAATGACTTTTTCGACTAGTCTTTATTTTTTAAATTTATCTGTTCTATTTAAGTTCTCAATGACTTTAACTTAGGTAAAAATATTCTACGATGTTTTACCGACTAAGTAATGAGTTTATTAAAAGTTTTATCTTTTATTTTTTCATTTTTATTTTATTCTTTGTACAAATCCTTAAGAATCATATTTGTAGTAATTTACACAGTAATTATTCAACTGCTTACTACAAGCATCTTTATTAGCCAAAAGCTCTTTATATTATCTCTTTATATTATATATAAAGGATTTTAAAAGACACTTTTTTTCAAAATATTTTGCTGTTCTTTTTGATGCTCAAACAAAGCTTATCTTTATTGTTATTGTCTTATTCTAGCTTATGAAAATGTTTTTTTTATATATATATCACAGTATTTTTCCCAAAGAGAAGTATCATTTCTTTCCCAATCCTCTTCCAATTGTTTGATGATTTTGTAACTCCTTATATTCTTTTTAAATGTAGAACAATGATTTTATACATCTTTAATCATTATAACACAAGTTTTGTAATGTGTTAGACATATAAGATTGAATAGAACTATTTGTCTTTTAAACTATCAAGAACCTAGATACACCTTCTCTGGTTCAAAATTTATATTCTCTAAATTCTTGTAGTATCATTTTAGCTTTTTTTCAAGATTGATTATCTAGTACATCTTTTTCTAAAACCAAAACAATTTTTCGGAGCATTATTGCATAAAAAATAACTTTACATGTTTTTCTGTTATGCAAAAGTTTTTATATCTTATTGAATTTTAACGGTAAATTTGATAAGCTTAATAAATTAAATTATAAACTTAATGATAAATCTAATAAAGTATATTTTTTATGAATAGATTCTAAAAAAAATTAAAAATGAAAAAAAATATAAATATAATATATTTTTATTTTTGCAATAATAAATCAATAATAATTTTAATAATCTCTATTTGATTTCTACTTAAGAAATATATATTTATTAAATAATAAAAATTTCATGTAATTATTATTATTACTATTATGGTATTTTTATTTATTATATCTTAAGTTAAATATTTTTATAATTTATATTTTTGTTATTTATTTTTTTAATTTAAATTCGTTTTTGATGTATTTAATCATTGTTTTTTTAATATTTAATATTTAGAAAAAATGTTATGTGAACAAATACATTTTATATCTTTAATTTTTTTACATTAATAAAGAATATATAAGAGTATATACGGAATATTATTCTTTTTTTAATCATATTTTAATTATTTTTTTTTGTTTAAATATAGATAAGACTAAAATAAATATAATATATATGATGGATTTTTTCAATTTTTAAATTTTTTTTACTTTTAATTCCTACTTCATTTTTATTTAATTTCCTTTTTCATTACATCAATAAATACATTTTCTATTTTTTCAAGTTATTATAAAAACTGATATTTATTAAAAATAACTTTTAATAATTCTAATATTTATATTTTTTCATCAAAAGTTATATTAATTCTAAGAAAAGATGTTTAAATATATTTATCATAACTATATATAATATTTTAAAATCATGCACACTGTTCAAACTTTTATTTTAAACAAATTATTGAGCTTGTAATCATTTTTGTTATTATTATCATATGATTTTCAAACATTAATAACTTTATATCTTTGAGTATAATTTATTATTTTTATTAAATATTTTTTTATATTTTTTATGAGTAATATATATATTATAATTTTCAATTTTTTTGAAATTTTTAAGATTTTAAATTTTATTTAAGTTTATATAAAAATATAAAATAAAAATTTGTTTTTTTAATTAATAAATTCTTTATGAAACTCGATTTCTTTGTCATTAATATGAAGTTTTTTACTTTTTCGATGTAACGTATACCAAAAGATTTATTATAATTGTTCTTAGAATATAAATTTCTTCTTTATTCATAGATCAGTGTCTTTTTTAGATTTTACTAATTTCAAAACAATTTACAATTTTTTTAAAATATTTAAAAAGAATATACTTCATATTATAACTATTTCTAATTTGTAAAAACACTTAAATATAAATTTGTTGCAATAGAATTTTGAAAAAGTAAAAACATTTTACAATTTTTTAGTTTAGTGTTTTTAAAAGAAATTATATTGTTTTTAAATAATTCATAATTGGTTTAAATATTTTTATTTTATTAATTTTTAAAATAATTTTTTACAGATTGAATTATTTAATAATTTTAAATTTTCTTCAATCGTTTATACTACTTTTAAATTTTTTATAATTATTTAGATCCAAAAAAACAAGATATTTTAACAAAATTATTTAACTTATTTTATATTTTTTTGATAAACATTCTATTTTTTTAATATGTAGTACAAAAACTAGACTCTAAAAATCCTAAATAATCTTATTCTATCTTTAAAATAATATAATTTTATTTTTTTAAAGAATTCTTTTTTACCTTAAAATAGACAAGTACTTTTTTGACACATAAAAACATTAATCCTATATATTTATATTTTTTTAATTGTATATATGTAACAACTTGTAAGATTTTAAAATTTTTCATACTTTTTATCAATTTTTTTTCATTATTTTTAAATTTTTTTACTTAAGATATTAATCTTTTATATAACTTGAATATTCAACATTCTAAAATCTTATAAAATGCCTCAATTTTTTAAAATTTTCAAAATTAAACAATATTTTAAGTAAAATTATTATAATTTAGAGTTTATGTAATTTTTCATTACAAAAATTAATAATAATTTAATCAAAATATAAATTCTAATATATTTTTAATAATCAATGTACTTTAATTAGTAAAATATTTATATTCATAAATTTTAAATTTTGTTTTTAATCTTTTATGATTTGGTAATTAATTGTTTTTTTTAATATATTTTCTTATATAATATTTGATTTATTAGATAAAGAATTATGTAGTAAACTTTTTTGATATTTTTTATATCTATATATCTATTTCTTTGTTAATAATTGTCAATAAAAATATTATTTTATAAATATAAAATGACTTTTTTCGTTATTATATTAATTTTAGATACAATAATAAGTGTATTTATGAAAAAATACAAATAGTTTTGCTTTTTTTTTATAAAACTAAGATAAATATAAACTATAAATTAAAATATATCAACGTTTATTTTCAACTTATTAAAATTATAATAATTACCTACAATATTGCTTTTAAAAAATAATTAAGTTCTAAAAAATTTTTTAAATATTTTAAAATCATACAATTTTAAAAAATTATATATTTATATTTAAGAAAATTTAATTTCATTTATAAAACTGAAAAATTTCATATTTTTGAAATATGAATTAAAAAAATTAAATTCTAAATAATATAAAAATAATTATATTAATTATATAACAAAAATTAGAATTATAAATTTGATATAATATTATCAACTAGAATAAAAATTTAAAATTTTTGGTTAGAATCTTTTAAGATTTCTATCGACAATTTAGATAAAAAATTTTAAAAGTTAATTAAAAAATTACGAATATAAAAATATTTATTTAATGAATATTCATCGATGTCGTTTTGTTGATTACAATGCATCATCAATAACATTTATTTGTTTTTCTCACGATTCATCTTTAAATACAACACCTAAATCACTTCGTTGTGCTGTTGGACGTGCAAATGGTGATCTTGAAATATGGAATCCTCAAGAACATTGGACTCATGAAATAACATTTCGTGGTGGAATAAATAGATCCATTGAAGGAATTTCATGGGTTACTACTCAAAAATCTTCAAGGCTTTTTACTATTGGATACTCTACTTTTATTACTGAATGGAATTTAGAAAAATTAATTCCTTTAAATCATTTGGATGTGAATTCTGGTGCCATATGGAGTATATCTGTATCTCCATCTAAAGACAAGCTTGCAGTAGGCTGTGATAATGGTAATGTAGCAATCGTTAATATATCTGGAGGAAAAGGAATTATGGAGCATTTATATATTTTAGCTTGTCAAAATTCCAAAATTTTATCACTTTCATGGGACCAAACATTTCATATTATAGCTGGTTGTTCTGATAGTTCTATTCGAATTTGGGATTCTTGTAGTTCTCATGGCAGTATTATTGCTCGAATGAGTGTTGATAAAATAGGAAAAGATGATACTTTAGTATGGACAATAGAAGTTTTAAAAAGTGGAGTTATTGTAACAGGTGATTCTACAGGATCTGTTAAATTCTGGGATCAAAAGTACTATACATTACTTCAATCGTTTAAAACTCATACAGCAGATATCTTGTGTTTAGCCTCTAATAAAGTATTCATATTTTATACTGTGTAGTTTTGTTTATTCTAAAGGCAGGAGATATTCTATTTTCTACCGGAGTGGATCGTAAAACAGTTTTATATCGTGTTGTAAATAAAGAAACTCAGCAATGGGCAGATCTTGCTAGTAGGAAATTTCACAAGCATGATGTTCGTGCTATGGCTTTATATGAATCTAAAGATATTGATATTCTTGTAACAGGAGGTATTTTATTTATACTTAGTAGTTAATACTAATATTATAAGGAGTTGATATGGCATTAACGATTATACCAGTTATAAAATTTATGACTCAAGCTCATAGAACTATCCAACCTGTTCCTCAGAAGCCAATTATGAGTTTTTCCACTTCTCGAATAATGATAAATTGGAGTGATCATCAGGTAAAATTATGGAGAATTAATGAAATACATTTAAATTCAAATAATGATATTATTCTTTCTGAAAGTATTAAAAAAAAACATCTATTACTTAAGATGAGAATAAATGTAATATTTTTTTTTATAATTTTTACTTATAATAATTAGACAGAAGAAAATATTAATGTTGCTACTATATCTAAAGATGGAAATTATATCGCTGTTGGGACATTGTGTACAGTAAAGCTATTTAAATTAAATTATGATCCAAATTCTTGTATAAAAGTTAAAAAACTTCAAATTCGTGGTCTAGATTCTATTGGTGCAACTGTTTTATTATTCGATCAAGCAAGATCAAATCTCATTATTGCATATTTAGATAAAGTTTATTTTTTAAATTTACAATTATTAAAATGTATAGCTACTATTACAAAACCGGAAAAAGAAAAAATGGATATTATTGAATATTCAAATGTTATTAAACTTATAGCACTTTCAACAGATTCTAAATATTTTGCTACATACAGTTTTTCACATGACATATATATATATGATCTTGAAAGTTTCGTTATGACTTCGCACCTTCCACGACTTTCATCATCAGTTGTTGTCATTTCGTTTTGTTCTTTTATTTCGTCTCTTATAGTTGTGACAATTGATAATTTAATATTTGATTTCAATATTAAAACAGGAAAATTGGGAGATTGGTCAAAAAAAAACTCCGCTGATTTACCTACTGAACTTTTAAGATTAAAAGATAATTGTATTGGAGTTTCATTTGACTGTGGCATTGAGTCTCGGATGTGGTTGTGGGGATCAAGTTGGATAGGATTTATTGATTTAAGTGTAGAAATGCTCAAAAAAAAAGTAAATAAGCGCAAATTGGAAAACGAAAATAAACTTTTTCAACCTATTCATCAGATATCAAGTAAGGAACGTATTATAGTACAACCAGCATTTTGGAATGAAAAAAAATGTTATATAAAGTCATCTGATATTATTACTTTAAAAACTATAGAAGAGTCTATGGATGTTGAAAATAAAGGAAAAAGAATGCATTTTTGGATTACATATAGATATAGGTCATTATTATTAGTGGGTTGTTTAAATAAGAATGAATTATTAATTGTAGAAAGACCTCTTATTGATATGCTTATTGATAAAGGAATACCTCCGCCTTATTATAAGCATTTGTATGGGACATAATGGTATTATAGTATCTCTTTTTGTTTGTATTTTTTAATTATTAAGATTAGTTGATAATTAATATAATATGATGTTTTACATGTATAATTGAAAAACTAATAAATTTAAGTATCAAATTTTGATATTTTAAAAAATATTATGGGTTTTTTGATTTTTAAAAATAAAAAATATTTTAATTCCTAAATATCTATTTTTCCAAATATATAAATAAAATAATATTTAAAAAATTATAAAGTTATTAATAATTATTATAATTATTATAAATACATTTAAATATTGAAATTTGTTATAGAAAGCTTATTTTTTTTACATGCCACTTAAAAAACAGTATTTTTTATAAGAATTCTACAATACTATCATACACTATTTTCCTTACGTCATAAAATTCTTGAGATACTCCACCTTCTAAAATAACTTTTCCACCACCAATTTTTCTTACAGTCACTAAACCGTCACATAAAAGTACACCTTCACCAATAAGTTCAGCTACATGTCCCTGGTCTTGAAGAAGTTGCTTAACTTGAGTAAGTTTAACATCACCAACAAATAATGGGTGTGATTGGGGTATATTTCTTATATTTGAATGTGTAGACAAAATTTCCAAAATAGGAAGATCTGTTTCAGTAAAATCAGCAGAAAGTTTAAGTTTTCCAATAACATGTGAGACATTATAATCTCCAAGCTGTTTTATTAGTTTAAAGCTAATATTTTATTAATATATCCACCTTTTTCCATCTTAAAGTATTGATAATATTATCAGAAAGTTTAAGGTTATAAGAATTAAGTTTTATACCAATTTTTAAAACTTCTCCTTGTAATGGTGAATAAATATCATTAGTAAATGATATCAAGGATCTACATGTTGCCATCATATTATCTTTAGCTTCTTGAGTAGAATTAATAAGAACCTTCAATCATTAATAAAATATAAATATAAATTAAAACAAATTTACAAGTTTCCTTGGGTTAACCATAGGAATTATAGTTTTTAAGCTTTTTCCATCATGCAATCCTTCCATATCTATATATCTAACAGAACATTTTATTAATATTTTTTCCTCAGTAATAATAGTTTTACTAGGAACATTAATATCTTTATCAATATTTCCATTTTGTATGTTATTTGAGATTCCTGCCCATTTTCGTTTTTTAGTCATAGTATTAATTGATTTATTTAATTCGTTGTTAACATTAAATTCTAAGTCTTCTTCTGTTATACGAAAAAATTTTTCTGGAATAATTATTTCACCAAAATCATCAAACCTTCTTCTTTTTTCGAGAGTTGGAAACATTTTAAAACGTGGAGACATTTTTCTTATTTCATTAGTTTGAAGATACAAATCATGAACGCCTGGAGTTAATAATGATGCTGAGCCCTTTGCTATCATAGAATCATTTCTGAAATGAGTCTTTCTATCATTACTATCATCATTTAAATCCGAATCAGAACTATCAAAAAGATCTCTATTTTGAAGCTCCATAATTAATTTAGCCGCATCTTTTTCTCGACGAAGTTTTTCTTTTTCTTGATATTTTTCCAATTCACTACCTACCAATGGCACTGAAGTACGAATCTGGGTAAAATTAAGTAATGAAATAAAAAAAAATATTATTACAGTAACAGTTTTATTAAAATTTAAGATCACAGCTGGAGGTATAAGTTGATCACTATGTTTTATAGCCAAGTTCCAATGATCTAAAAGATCTTTTGATAAAGAATTTTCATAATAAATAGACTTTTGAGAAAGAATAACTAAATTTTTGGAATCTTTTGCAATACTATCAAGAAATATTTTTTGAGAAAATCCACAATCCATATTAGAGCTTGTTGCTAATATAACTTTAGGACCAGATACCATACTAAGAAATTGAAATTCATTGGTAATAACTTTAACATATCTATAATTATTATAAGTATTAACAGTAACAAATAAACTACATACGTAAACTCAAAAACAGATCCACTTGATCCATATTCACTAATAATAGAGTCACTCATCCATTCTATCATGCTTTGAGCATATGATATTGCTTTATTTCCTGTATGACTAAGGAAATAAATAGGATACTGAAGATTATGTTGCTGCCAATAGCGATCTAAGATCCAGCAAAATTCAAGAGAACGCGTTGCTGCATCAGTAGGAATCAACACGTTTCCTTGTTGCGCAAGCGTGTTTTTAATAGAATCTTAAAAATTAATTGTATAAAAAATAAAATTTTTCTTACCAAAAAAAGCTTCTGTTCTTTTTTTACGTGATGGGATAGAAATATTAGAATTTATAGCATCAGTTATAAGAATTGTTGGTCTGATTAAAGCATCTAATATAGTCCCATTAGAATAAAGAATACTTCCATTAAGATGACTATCTTTTGAATGATTCCAATTAACACAGTACACAATATTTTCAGAATCTTTTGTGATCTTCCAAATAGTTCCTCCAAGAGAATGCCCTGAATTATACGCTGTAATAGAAATACCATTTAACTTTCCTAAATAAAGTTATAATAAAATTATTATATAAAATATAACATACCAGAGAGAGATATTGGTTGAGAATAACGCAATGTAATTATAGAATCGAATGCATTATCTATGTCCTTTGTCGATATAGTATTATCCATGATATTTTTATAACAATCACTCATTGTTACCCGACCCATATTAAAAATTGGAAGTGTTGCATATATAGGCACATCATGCCACCCACTATGTTTGAAGCCATGAACAAAAGATCCAACATGCGAAACATCTGAATGAGAGAAAAGAATAAGGTCTGGTATAAAATCAAGTTCTAAAAACTCTGAAAGAAGATCATTTGCTCCTGGATCCAAAAGAATTTTAATTTCTCCAAAACTTAATACTGATGCTGAACTCCTCTCAGGATCTTTTAAAGGCCAGAAACAAAGCATAGTAGTACCATTTAATATATTATATATTATTATTTAATGTTTAATAAATCCCTATTTATTTTCTTTAAAAGCTTAGTTACGTTCGATTTTAAAAATTACAATTTTTCTAAATGTCTTCAAATTTTTTACGTTCTACAGAATCTATAATACGTCAGAAAGTATTTTCATTTTATAGAGACTAAGGTTATTAATTCTTTGTTTTAGCTAACAGAAGAATTATCACCTTTGATTTTAGAAATTTATAATGATTCACATTTACATAAGCATCATGCAGAGATGAAGAATAATACAAATCCTGAAACCCATTTTAGGTAAAAATTTGAATAAAAAATATCTCTTTATGTAAACTAATAGTAGAATTAAAATAGTATCTGATGGTTTTAAAGGACATGGACTTGTTTCTCGTCATAAAATAGTTTATAATTTATTAAAAGAAGAACTAGCAAATGGTGTGCATTCTTTACAATTAAATACAAAAACTCAGGAGGAATTATTAAAAGAAGATGTTTAGCTAAAAAATATATAATTTAAAATAAGCTATAATAATCGAGATTATATAAAACATTTAATCATTAATTTATCATAAAATTTATATTAGATTTTACAATATTTATGTATATTTAAATGAAAAAGGAAAATCATGCAAAAAGAATTATAATTCAAGCAAAATAAAAAATAAGTAAATGTTTATTAAAGTATTAAAAGATACGTATTAATAAATTAGTGAAATTAAAAACATAATTGCAGGAAAATGTGTAATGATATTATAATAAAGGTAGTTTATATTACCTGTACTTTTAAGATTTGTATAGAATATAAGTATGTAAATTATGCAGCAAGAATAATTTTATTTGACTCTTCCAATTCCCGGGTTTGTTCATGTTCTTCATTGTTAGTCCAGAAGGAATCATGTTGAAGGTTTTTATTTTGATTTGAAAGATTATCATTAGCATCATCCGCTTTGTGATGAAGTGATAAAGTGGGTTTTATAGTTGATGTTTCAAAAGTCCATTGAGAAAGTGCATTTTCACATTCAATAATTATTTGTTTGGATTGTTCATAGCCATCATATGTTGCACGGCTTTCTCCTGGAGTTATAGGAGTATCATCTAAAAGCTCAAGCAAATATTTTCCATATCCTGCTATTAACGCTAATTTTTCTGAGTGTTCCTTTATTGCATCAAATTGATATGTAAAGGCTGTCTTTAGCTTCTCTCTTGTAGTATTATTCAATTGTGCCTCAGCAACAAGACAAGAGGCTTCAATGCGAATAAGTTCTTGTTCCAAAACTAAAAGTTTTTGAGAATCTGGTTCTTTGTGTTTTAACATATATATTTGATCAATTAATTTTTGTCTTTTATCACGAGAAGGCTGTACAGATGCTTCTATATTACGAATTGATTTCATTGTCATTCTATATTGATCATAACGATCTGTTAAAAATTAGATATTTGATTTCAAATACGTATATCAATCAAAATTTGCAAGCAAATACGCATACATACCAATAAAACTATCTTCTAGTTCACCAATTTCATAAATAAGAACACCAAGTTTATCAGTAATATCAGAAATGTCATCATCACAATCTTCTCCCCATAAAGATAACTGTTTAGCAACTTCTTTGCGCTCACGACCAACAAGTTCATAAGAACGCATAACATTTTTTTCCATTTTAATAAGAACTGCAAGACGTTTAGCAAGTTCAGGTGCAAATATTCTGGTTTTATTAGTTTTTTAAAAAGATTATTTAAAAAATAGATACGCTGCTGATGATTTTCTAAATGAATGTCCAATAGATCTTAATCCAAAAAATCGATTACTTTTTGTTGATGATACAGGCACAGGTATTGTATTTGCCTGGGAAGTACCTGATGTACGTGTGCTTCTCACTGAATATGTCCTATGCATTTTTGAATTTGTATTAATTATATATATTAATAAGTGCTGTTTTTAAAAAAATAAGAAAAAATTTTTATATCACAAGATTATTGTTTTGAATATTTTTAATTATAAAATTAAGTTTATTGGACCTTTTTCATAAAATAAATTAGAAAAGAGATAAATGTAATAGTTTATTAACCTTTTATTAAATCAAACGATAAGTAAATTAGCGTCGAATCTTTTACATAAATAATTAATATTATATATAAGCAATTACGAATCATAAAAAATATGTAAAATTGTTATTTTTTCTATGAATAAATCAAATAAATAAATTTTCTATATTAATATATATATATATATGTATATGATTATATTGTATTCTAAAAAATTTTATTATTAATTTTGTTAAAAGGTATTAAGATATAAAGATATATTAAATTAATTATATAATATAATTTATAAATTAATTTTTAATAATTTAATTATTAAAAAAGACCTGCAAAATATATGCAAATAATCTTAAATATAATAAAAAAGAAAATGATATAAATTTTATTAAAAACATAAAAATAAAGATAAAATCAAAATTATTATTTTATATATTCATTTAAAATATATATAATCAAAATTTTGCAAATTCCTATTTTTATAGATAAATTATTTTTCTAAAATAATTACATCTATATTATTAAAAATCTTTAACATATTAAAAATTAATTATAATAATATATTAAAATCAATTTTTTTTTCAATAGATTTTGATATAAAAAAATAATTTTAATCATTTTATTCTGTAATTAATATGAATATTTATATAATTTTATAAATGAAAATATTTAAAATTTCAATTCTAGAAAAATATTTATTATGAATCTTAGTAAATACTATTTGTCTATTTTTAAAAAATAGAGATGAAACTTGATAATTTCTGAATTTATTCTTCATTTAAATTATATGGATTGCTTTAATTTTTAAAATCTCGACAGGCTTTAAATAGAAATACTATAAAAAAATTATAGAAATTAAAATACACAATGTCTTTAAAAAAACCTGCAGTAAATCTAAATAATATTACTATTTTATCAATATTCAGTTTAGGTTTTCTTGTGCGAATTATTTTATTTAGAAATAAAAACATTATATCTTTATTAAGCAATCGGGTTGAGATAGCTACAACGGTTACAAGTTATAAAAGACGTATAAAATTTTTGAATTTTTTTATTTTTTTATAATTATTTTAGTCAAAGAAGGTCTTTTTCTTTATGAACATGGAATTTCTCCATACAATGATAACTCATTTCATCATGTTTTATTTTTTTAATATATCATATTTTTTATTTATAATTTTAGACACCCTTATTACTTGCGCTATTTTCAGTAATCAGGCTCATTTCTAATTCACAATTTCTTGTTTCATTGCTTTATACAATTATAGACTTGTTTTCTGCATGGTTTCTTTTGGATTTAACAAATTCTACAATTTTAAAAGATCATTCTATAAATCCTTGGATGAAATATTTTACAATCTTTTCGTAATATTTCATTTTCTTTCTGTTGTTTTTTACTATTTATAGATTTCTTCTTAATCCTTATTCTATTGTTTCTTGTGTAGGAATGTCAACTGCTATTTTCACTAATTGTTCTATATTTGCTAGTCTTTCTTATTTGCAATGCAGTAAATTTCAACTATATAATTATACTTATTCTAATATTTTAGGAAAATCTTTACAATCTATCTTTTTTTTAGCTATAGCTACTTATTTAAGTTTTTACCCTATTCTTTTACTTCCACCATTAATACTTATACTACACAAAAACAATACCAGAAAAACGAATATAGTATTCCTCTAAATTAGTTGAAGTTTAATAATACGTAATTAGTCTACTACTAAAAGCATTATTTTATTTTTTGCTGCATTATTATTATTATTATTATTAAGTTTCATTACAACAGGTTCTTGGGATTTCTTATCTGCAACATATGGATTTATGTAATATTATCATATTTATATTTATTTCCTAGTAATAACTATAGACTACTTGCGCCTGACCTTACACCTAATGTTGGGCTTTGGTGGTATTTTTTTACTGAAATATTCGATTCATTTAGATTATTTTTTACTTCTATTTTTCAATTGCATTTATTTATCTATTTGGCACCATTATGTATACGATTAAGGTACATTTCTAATAATTTATAACTACTTTTTTAATATTTTAAGAAAATACCCTTTTTTTATAATTATTATATTATGTGGAATAATGTCTATTTTAAAACCATATCCATCAATTGCAGACGCTGTATTATTTATGTCACTATTTCCACTTCTTCATCCAATTCATTCATGTATTATAATAGCTTTTCAAAATAATACTAATATCTGTTGTAGATATGCGTTATAAATTTGCAACTACGTTGTGTTTTTTTTATTGTAGTTTTCTAGGCCCTATTTTTTACTATCTCTGGATAAATGCTGGTTCAGGAAATGCCAACTTTTTTTATAGCATTACACTTGTTTGGAATTTCAATTTAAGCATTATTGTAACAGATATAGTTTTTGCAATATTAAAAATGGAATTAGAAATAGAAAAACCAGATATGAAAGGGGTTGATGTAATCCAAATAAATTATTAACATAAATACTTTGATAAGATTTTGTAATCCGATTTCACAATTTTTCCTTGGAAATTTTTGATTAAAGATGGTGAAATTTCATCTTCAAGGTATCTAATGATATATTAACTTTTAAAATAATAAATATTTAAAATAACCCTAATTTTTTATAAAAACATAATGCACGTTCATTAGAATTAAATACAGTTAACATAGCTTTTTGAAGCCCCAATTTTAAACCCAAACTTTCCATAATATTCATAAGATGATATCCTATACCAGATCGATGATATTTCTGCATAACTTGTACTTCATAACTAAAATATGTAACTTAAAAAAATAATTCTTTTAAACTATATACCAGTAAATAACACACTCGTCCCCTTCAATTACTATTTGATAACTTAAAAACCCAACAATATCATGTTGACCATCTTTTCGAACAATTATATATTTAATATATTCCTCTCTCATTTCTTTAATTTTTCGTCTAGATGACCATCCCATAGATGATTTTTTATACCTTTCAGTATATTAATAAAAATTATACAATAAAAACAAAAATTTACATTTCTTCCAAATTATTTTTTACAAGCCGAAAGCAAGTATATATATCATCTTTTTTAATGTTTTTTATATCAAATAATTGAATATCATATACATCATTACTAATTTTATTATTTTTAAATTTAAAGTATACTTATATTTACTTCTTGAAATTATAAATTTTATTATAAGGTATAAGATTCCTAAGAGTATTTAAGCAAACATTATTTGCTATTTCAACAATATTGTTTTTTTGAACTTGCTTTTCTTTATTATTGTTTTTACTTTTTACTAAATTTATTTCCTTCATATTTTTTAAAAACTAAAAAATTATATATAATTTTTTAAGGCCGTGGTAAGTATAAGGCTTCATGGTGTAGTGGCAGCACATGGGATTTTGATGTATAATATTCCCATAACCCGAGTTCGATCCTCGGTGAGGCCTTTAAATTCGGGAATATTTCATGTTTGATTAAAATCTTTAATGTCATTACTAAATTAGCTGTTTTGTTTTAAAAGTTAATAAGAAATAGTTAGGAGTTTTTAATGTTATGCAGTTTTCAAAGATACTATTAAAACATAATTTATTTTTCATTTCATAAATTTTAATAATATATTAATAATTTTTTAAATAGTTAATTTTTATTTAACGTTTTCGATTCAAAATATTATACATACAGTATGACAGACTTAGAACTTCATGTTCATCTTCCTGGATTTGACTTACCATCTATTGATCCTTATTGTTTAAGTGTAATTTGTTATTTACAAATAACGACTCCTGGTTTATATAGTCTAATTTATTCTAATAATGATACTTTATCACCAACAGGTATAATTTTCCAATGAAATAATAAAATAATTTAAAAATAGGAAAATTGCCTGCTCTTAGGGATTCAGGGACATGGATTGGATCTTGGAATAATATTATAAATTATTTAAAGCAAAAAGGGTTTGATGCAGATGATTTTTTAACAGATATTCAAAAAGCTGATATTATTGCGTTCGAATATATTTCCTAAAGTTAAAAACTAACTTTAAAAGGTATGAATCACTTATTCATGGATTTGGATTTGATCTTACGGTAAAATAATATTATTAAAGTATTTTGTTTTAAACATTAAAAGCTATTCAACATTTATGTCGATGATGAAAATTATTCAAATGTTACTAGACCACTTTATTATGAAAAATATTTTCCTTTTTCAACTTCTTATTTAACTCTTATGTATACTAGAAATTTTGCAAAAAAAAGAACAGAATATTTTAAAATAAAGCAAACAGTTCCTAAAGAAATAAAAAGTCATTCAATTTTTCAATATCATTTAAAAAACACATCTTATGATTTTAAGAAAGAGGCTAAAAATCAAAAAGTAAATCAATTTCATATAATTTATTTAATAACATTAATAAATTTAGTTAAAAGTATTATCATCTAATTTTTATAGATTATTAGCTTCTAAGCTTTCATCTCAACCATTTATATTCGGTGATCGTCCTACTTCTCTTGACTGTTTGATATTTGGTCATCTTGCATTGCAGTTTTTTCCAAATTTTCCTAATTCTATATTATCTGAACACTTAAAGTCTACAGAACCATTGCTCGTATCTTATTTACATCGTTCTTTTTCTATATATTTTCAAGAAAACAAACCTTTGAATATCAAAAACACAGAATTAAAATATTTTTCAAATATGGCAAATATCTTATGGAATAATATTACTATACTTAGCCCAGTTATTCGATTAAAGGAACTTATAGGTGTTAATAATACAGAAAACCGGAAAAAATTTCTTACTATTTCTATTAGTATTTTGTGTTTTATATCATATATTTATATTACTGGCATAGTAAAAATAGAAATTAAAAATCAAAATGAAAATAATTCAGAAAAAGTTGATGAAACTTTAAATAATGATGTAGTTCTATAACATATTATTATAATATATTATTTTAGATTAAAATGTTATACAAAAATTTTTAACAAATTAATTTTATTTTTTTTAAATATTAAAAAATATTTCAATCATTTTTTTTATAAATAGTTGATTAATTTTATAAATAAATTAACATATATTTATTTAAAAATGTAAAATTTATATAATACGTATAACCAATAATTTTATATATTGTAATTTTTATATTTTTGAATAAAAGATCTTAAAAAATTACATCTTAATGGCATAATAATTACAAAAAACTATTATATACTATATATTCAAATAATAATGAAATTAATTTAAATTGAAAAATTGTATAATAAATATTTAAACTTTTAAAAATTTATATAAAGGTATATCTATATATGTATATTTATAATATTTACAAGATTAATAAATTAAATAATTAGAATAAATCTTATATATATTATTTTGGAGTTTAAAATATACACCAAAAATATTCTAAAATTTAAACATGTCGGTTTTGCTGTTTCTGATATTCTATAATTAATTCCTATACAGTATTAACACAATAAATATAAACTTATAATACTTGCTTCTTGAAAATGATCAGGAACTTTAGAATGTTTTATGTACTCAGCAGTAAATTCACCTTTACCTTGAGTACTTGCTCGTAAATCTGTACTATAACCTTTTACATATAAATATAAAATTAAATTATAAACTAATTAAATTACCAAACATATTATTTAGTGGAATTTCTACATCAACTGTAAAATCGTCAGATCTAATGTCTGTATTTAATATAACAGCTTTTTTTTTATTAAGTCCATTAATAATTGCACTTGAAAACTCATTATCAGCTGTAACACTTAATTTCATAATAGGCTCAAGAATAATAGGATTTGCTTTATTATATGCTTCTTTAAAAGCATTAAGAGTTGCAATATGAAAAGCTAATTCTGATGAATCAACAGAATGTGCAGCACCATCCTCAAGTACCATACGACACCCTTTAACTGGAGACCCTATTAAAAGTCCACTTTTTAAAGCATCTTTAAACCCCTTTAAAAATTAATTAAAAACATATAAAATTTTAAAGCAACTTTTTCACATGCAGGTATAAAATTCGTTGGAATATTTCCACCTGTAACGGTACTCAAAAACTCTATATTTAAATTTGAAGGATCACCCTCGATTATAGGCTCTATATATCCCTCTACTTTACCAAACTGACCTGCACCTCCTGTTTGTTTTTTATAAGTACTAATATTAATTAAAAAATAACCACAAATACAGAAAATCATACTAGTTAAAAGTAGATCTAGTTGTAATAGTTTCTCTGTATGCAACTTGAGGTTTTCCTAAAATGCATTCAACATTGTACTCTCGTTTCATTCTTTCAACATAAATATCTAAATGAAGTTCTCCCATTCCTGAAATAATAGTTTCTTTGCTTTCATGATCGAATCTAACTTTGAATGTTGGATCTTCTTTTTGAAATTTGCTAAGAGCTTTTGAAAAATTTGAAGATTCTTTTCCTTTTTGTTTTAAAGATAATGAAATAACAGGTTCGGGAACAAACATTGATGTCTAATTAATATTACAAGAAATAAGAAATAGAAAATAACTACCATTGAATATGTTAAAGATTCATTAGCAAAAGTATCACCAGAAGCACAATCAATACCAAAAATAGCGCAAATTTCACCTGATCCTACTTTTTCAACATCCTTTTCAAATTAAATAAATTTCATTGCTAAAAACAACTACTAACCTCCATTTCATTTGAATGCATTTTAACAAGACGAGGAACTTTAATTTTCTTTCTTGTTTTTACATTAATAATATAATCCCCTCTTTTTAAAGTTCCTTGGTATACTCTAAGATATGTAAGTTGCCCATACTTACTTTCTTCAAGTTTAAAAGCTAATCCAACAAACTTTTCTGTATCATATGGAATTAATTTAACAGGTTTTTCATTATCTGAAACATCTAATGCAATATTTTCGACTTCAATAGGTGAAGGTAAAAAATCACAAATAGCATCCAAAGCAGGTTGAATAGCTATATCATTAAGAGCAGAGCCCATGAGAACTGGTGTAAACTTATTATTTAAAGTTGTTTTACGTATTGCATTATATATTTGTTCTTCAGTAGGCATTTTCTCTTCAAGAAATAATTCAGCAATTTCATCATCTATATTTGCTAAAGTTTCAATCAATTCTGCCCTCTTTTCTTCAACCAAATTTATTATGTCATTGGGTATTTCATCCTTTTCGACTATTTTAGTTCTAAAAAAGTCAATGATCTATAAGTTATAACAAACTATACCCTCTATGTCCTTCATTATATATTGCTTTCATTTTTATAATATCGAAAACTCCTATAAACCCAATATCATTGAAAATAGGCACATGTATAGAAGCTGCTTCAATTTTCAATTTATCTTTTATTTGATCAATTACTCTCCATGGATTTGAACCAATGCGATCCATCTAAGAGTATATTACTATAAGATAACAGGAGAGATAGTTTATATAACTTTATTAATAAATGAAATACGAGGAATGCCATATCTTTTCATTTGTTTATCAACAGTAATAGTTTGACTCTTATTTTTTAATTATATTAATTAAATATTTTATAAAGCTACCTGTACACCTGATACGGCACATAATACAAGCACTGCGCCATCTAGTACTCGTAAAGCTCTTTCAACTTCAATAGTAAAGTCAATATGACCTAGATTTATAGAACATTTTATAATAAACAAAGTTTTTACCAGGTGTATCAATAATGTTAATATAATATTTTTGTTTTTTACCATCTTTTTGTTTTATCCAATCACAAAATGTTACTGCTGACTGAATAGTTATGCCTTTTTCTCTTTCCAAATCCTTTACTATGAAAATTCTAGTTTATAAAAAAGATTTTTTATTACCATAAAATCCTAAATTCAATTAGAATATATAAATAAAAATAGATATATTTACCATTTTTGCACCAATATTATCTTTTCCTTTAACTTCATGAATATTTTTAATTTTTCCTGTATAATAAAGTATACGTTCTGTAAATGTTGTTTTCCCTGAATCAATATGGGCACTAATTCCTACATTTCTTTGCCATTTTAAGCGTTCTACAAATTTAGTTAAAAAAACAAAAAAGAAAGTTACCTATACTATTTTCTGTAAAGTCTTTGTTTTTTTGATTTAATGAATTTTTAATAAAATTTAGACAAGTATTTTTTGTAGATAAATGTTTTAATTGAAATATATAGGGAATTTGATTATTTGATATACCAAATATTGGAAAAAAAAAGAATTTATAAAATCGATAATGGATTTTGAAACATTGAGTTTTCATTCTATAAATTTATATAATTTTTATTAACATTTATAAATCGATATTGAAATTAAATTCTGAAACATAAATTATAATAAATATATAGATCTAAAAAGTTTTTATAGAAATTCTTATTATACTTTTATAATAAGTAATCAATAAAATCTAATAATGCTTTAATTAAAATAAGTACTTTAATAATTTAGAAAAACTATATACTTTTTTTTTTTAAAAAAATAATTTCATCATTATATTTCTTTTTTAATAATTAAGTTTAACCTTAACATAAACAATTTTTTTATACAAATCATACTTTTTATAAGTGGTTAAAAGTGCAGGTTTAGTAAATGATTGGGAATTATCTATATCCGACTCTATAATAACTTGATCTTCTGTAAAATTTTTAAAAATAGATTCATCTTTTCCTTCTAAAGGAAATATAAATTTATTAATCTAAGTAATAATTTTAGTAATAATATTGAGTTAAAAAAATTACCCTTTTTAGTAAAAAATAATAGTTTCTGGTAGAAACAAAGGACAAATTAATACTGAATTCATCTTTATTTCTTAAGAATTTTTACTTAGTTTTAATATTCTTACCTCTTTCAATTAGATCTTTTGTTTTCTTTTTTTTCGATTTCTGTATTTGTTCTTTTTGTAATTTAAGTATAATCAGAGGCTTAATAGCATCCATAATTTTCTAAAAATATATATTTATAAAATAGTGATTTTCATTTTAAACATACTTGATAAAGAATATCATCAAAATGTGAAATATCTGAAAAATTTAAAAGTAATCGCATTTCAATTATTAATCCTTCAAAAATCTGTAAATACCGACGATTAATTGTAGAATATGACATAGAAAAAGAGTATATGTAATTAAATAAGTTAAAAGGACCTTATAAATAATATTTTATCTTTTCTATCTTAAATAAGTTGTCAAGTTTTCTTAATATTTACTTACGTATAAACGAATCTAAATAAAAATAGATATTTTATAGATTTAATTATAAAAACTAAAATAACTAAAATTTATATTTTATATTAGAATTCTTATTATAAGTAAAAAATACAATTTATTTTAAAAATGACTTAAATAAAAATAATTAAAATTATAATAAGTATATAAATAAATCTAATTATATAAATGATAGATTTTAAAAAAATATTCTTTATTCTCGTTCAAACATAAATATTAAAATAAAATTTTGAAATTCCGAAATTAAAAATAGAAGAAAAGCATATTTTATTTTTAAAAAATATCCATAAATATTCATATTTCACTTTTAAAAATCTTAGATAACTTAAATATCTTATAAACTAAGATCCAATATTTTAAACAAAAAAGTTAATCATAAAAAACAAAAACTAAAATGCTATAGTAAAAATATCAATAAACAAATTCAATAATTATTTTGTTTTCTATTATATATATAATAATACATTATAATACCTAAAACTTCCCAAACTGTTTTGCTGTTTCTACTTCATTATGTCTCTCAACTCTTAAAACATTAAAACGAACAGTTTTTGAAAGTGGACGACACTGCCCCACTGTAACAATGTCACCTTCATTCACACGAAAAGCTGGTGATAAATGTGCTGCAAAATTTTTATGTCGTTTTTCATAACGATTATATTTAGGAATGTAATGAAGATATTCTCTTCGGATAATAATAGTCCTAGTCATTTTAGTTGAAACAACAGTTCCAGTAAGAATACGTCCACGAATCGAAACATTTCCAACAAAAGGACATTTCTTATCTATACTTCCATATTAGCTCAAGACAAAAGATTATAATAACTAAGAATAATGACAGGAAAAAAGCATTATCTAGAGCAAAAATACTCAAAAAATGCAATACAGATCATCAAAACTACAAAATTTTCTATAATTTCCAAAAAAATAACTTTTTCACCATCATCATATTTACTAACCAATATATTGCCCTTTTATAGCCTCTTTAGGTGTTTTGAACCCAAGACCAACTTCTTTATACCATCTGCGACCTTTACCAGATTTTTTATGTAATATCATTTTTGAATTCTGAAAAACATGTCTAAAAAATATTACTTTTAATATATCTATATTCACTAAAACAACTTACGGCTGCTTCTGAAAAGCACGTTCAGACTGCAATACAAGCTCTGGCATTTATCTGACTTTAAAACCAAATAACTTTATTAATAATTTGAAATCAATAAATTGTCGACAAAAAATAAGTCACGTTTAAAATAAATTACAAATTAGGGTTTAACATTAAAATACATGAATTTAACTTCTTTTAAAATTCATCACATGCAGTAATCAAAGCTTTTATACCGCCTGTTAAAACTTTATCTAATATAATTTTCGATATCCTAGAAACATTGACATTCCCATAAATAACATTAATATCTATAAAATCATTATTGCTTAAATTAGGATACTCATAAACAATTGAGTAACGAAGTTTAAATGTCACAAAAATTTTCAAAAAATATAATGGCAAAAAAACTTTTGTAGTTATTTCTAACAATGGTTGACCATCTTCAATTGTCAAATTATACAACATAGGATATCGAACTTTAAGTAAACAAAATTCAGACCATATTGAAGTTGCAATATACCATATACGAGATATAAGTGGTAGTGCCTAAATAACATTAAATATATTTCATAAACTTCATATCGCATCTACTTCTTTAATTGTACATTTTTCTAGTATTTTTTCCAAATAATGAAAAAAGAACATTCTGATCTAAAATGCATTAAAAACAATTAAAGATTTCAAAAAATCAAACCTTATCTTTTATATCTTCATTCCATTTTATTGATACATTATTTTGAATAAAATTAAATGTAGTTTCAATAACACCTAAATATATGAAAACTACAGTATCTTGAGAAAATGATTTTGCTTCCCACCCTGTAATGGTTTTAAGGGTTTCCAATGTTCTTTTAATATTTTCAATTTCTTCTTTCTCAAAACAACGATTAGCTTCAGTTGCTTTTTTATATTCTTCAATTTCCCGATCTAATATTATTTGTTTTTCAGACAATTTATTTAATTGATTATCAATTTCATAGATATTCTTATTAATATCTTCAATTTTCTCTACATTCCTTTGTATCTCTTCATTAACTCTAGATATACTAGACCAAACTTCTCTCAATTCTTTTTGATCACATTGATTAATTTCCTCTTTAATCATTCTCAAATGGTTTAACTGTTCCTTTAAAGACTCAAACTTCAATTTGATTAAAGGAAAACATGTGTTTAAAACAGGTTTGATATCATTAATAATTAACTCATCCTTAAGACTATATTAATCATTGATTCAAGAATAAAGATAAACATACTTTCTTTAAACCTTCTAGGTTATTTTGTAACCCTTCTTTCAAACCCAAAAGTAATTTATCTCTCCACTCATACCATATACCTTTAGCATAAAGTCTCGAGTAATTCTTAACTAGTTTAAATTGTCCATCCATAATGACTCGAATATCGTGAGTAGCAGATATATATTCTCGAAAAAGCAAAGGGTTTTCTTCAGAAGTATCTTCTTCGATTTTATTAATCACTTCTTTCCCTTCTTCTATATATTTTTGAAGCTCTTTACAACTCTTGAAAATATTAGTATAACATATGAAACACTTAATAACATACGAATTGGTATAATTCAAGAACAGGAAGTGTAAGAGATGCAGTATAGATTAATTCTTTCAAATTAGGAGGCTTTGGAGCTAAATAAGGGAAAAATGTAGTTTCTCTTCGTTTCGTAGTAGTAAGCCCATCTAAAAAAGATATTGAAGTTATTTTCAAAAACTCCGTCAAAGTTATTGGTGACAAAAACTGTAGATAAATAAATATTTTTCAGTAAAAAACAGAACAACTTACATTATTTTCATCTTGCATCTCAACTAAATGATCAGAATACTCATTTTTCTTAAAATTAGGACTATTATTGCAATTTTTTTTTACTGGACTAAAAACATATATATTATTTAAAGTATTCTCACAATTTCTTTTTAATTCAGATCCAGAATCTTGAAAAGTAGCACTTTTTAAAACATTTTGAATAGCTAACGACTGTGACAAAGTATCATTCTTTTTAGGTGTTAATTGAATAATACGACTTTTAATATCAAAATCATTTAAAATAGAAGTACATACTTTAGCTACTTCATTCTCCCACATTGATTTCTTCCCAATAACAATTTTATTAGCTGGACTACCTAATCCTGCTAATTTCATTTCTTCAAAACCAGACATACTTTTTCTACTTTTTAAAAGTTCTGCAGCTTTTGGAGATCCTAATTGAACTGGCACAGAAATGCCACTTATGCGACGTATATTATTAGTATTTAAAGCTTTTTTGCCAAAAAGAGCATCTATAGCTAAAACTCCATTACGAAGAATTCTCTGTGGAGATTTCAATTTTGTATCAAATAATTTTGTCATATCTATATTAGAAGTAATATCATTACATTGATCTGAAGTACGTGTTTCCTCTTTTTTTTTTGAAGATAAATTATTCACTTCTAAAACATATGGAACGGTCTTAGTAAGATTCATATCAACTGTATTATCGTCATCATAAATAACTGCAGACTTATAATAATCATCATGTAAAAAACAATTAGAAGATGAATCACAATAAATCTTTTTTTGTATTGAACTTGATTTTCTTTCCGAACAAACACTACTAAAAGTATCAGAAGATTCTTTAATCTCCCCATTTACAGATAAAACATTTCCAATAGCAGTTGTGAAATCCATAGTTAATCCTAAAAAAATAAGAAATATTTTTTTTAAAAATAATTATATACCATCTTTTTGATCTATTTCATTTACCCTTTTCAAAATAGTTCCAGCAATCTCAGCAATATCTTTATCTATATATTCTATTAACTAAAATATTATTTAGGAACAAAATTTACCAGAATCAATATCATTATTTAAAAATTTAGAATCAACTGAATTCTCTAATTCCATAAATCGTATTCCTAAAGATTCAGAAAGTTGATTGTTTTCCTTAACAAAAATATCTTGATTTTCATTTGAATTAGAATTTTTATCAGACTGTAAATGAAAATTAATATGATCTATGGCATTTTTACTTGCATGAATCTTTCCAAGAGCTAATGTTAAATCCATTTTTACTTCCTCTAAACTATTTTTTTCAAATGATGCATTATCAACTATTTCTGTTGAATGAGCAGTGAAATTTTCTTTATTTCCTTGAAATATAGATCCAGGGATCACTTTAGTTAAATCCATAGTTTTTTCTGCTAAATCTTCTTCAAATACAGAACCAGTAGCAGTATTAATCATATTTACTGTTATTTCATCAGATTTTTTTTCCTCAAACACTGATTTAGAAATTATCTCAGTCAAGTCCATAGTCATTTCTCCATCAATATCTTTAGAATTTGAGTTATTTTTATAATCAAAAAAGTGATCTTTAGAAACACTTTCTTGAAAATTAAAACAACATGCATCTTCTACCATTTCGGAATCATGTTGATTTAAATCATCCAAAACTTTATGTCCTTGGGATATTGGGACAGGAGAATTTATATATAATCTTGACGACTTTACAGGAGAAATACACTTTATAGGTGATGGTGTTTTTGGAGAATTATTTAATAAAAGTGATTTTTGATATTTAAAATTTCTATTAAAATTAATAAAATGAACAAAGAAATTTGTTAAAACCGTTTAATTGGTGATAATAAAGATTTTTGGTCTGAAAGTAAAGATGATTGACTAGAAGGAGTAGAATTTGGTGACCGAAATTCCTGTTCTTTTTCAAACAATCTAATTTTATTAAAAAGAGAAAACAAATAAAACAAAATAAAACCTAACAGATGCATGGCTTGCAAAACTAACACGACGATTAAGACCTTTGAGTTTCCGAGATTTCTTTATCTCGTCATTTCCAGAATCGTTTTCAGCCTCTTCTTTCAAAGCAACCTGCATTATACCTATAACAGTATGATTATCCATATCATTTTTAGATGTTGAATCATATGAACAATCTGAAGAATATAAAGATCTTTTTAGTATACCCTTATTAGGTACCTACTTATCTATTAGAATTCTAATTAAATTAAATAAATTAAGAATAATACCGTCAATGTTGATTTTAACTCTTGTTTAATTATTGGAAACATTGAAAATTGTTCATCTTCAATACCACTAAGTGATTTAGAACGTTTTATGTGAACTCCTTCTTTAGGTATTGGTAAATTAGTCTTGATTGGAGATATATTTTCTTTATTTAAGACATCTTTATTCAATATTTCTTGTCTCAAACACTTCCATGAAGATCCAGGGCTTTTTGTAATTGTCATTCCTTATAATAGTTTAATCTATAAAATACTATCCAACAATAATTATAAAGCTCTTTATAACTTACAACTTTAAATATTTTAAAGAATGTTTATTATTAAACGTAATCGATCGTTTAAATTTTAATTAAAAATATCATAAAAATAATTAAATTCAAATTGTTTAAAACTTTATATTTAGTTATTCAACATTTAATATTTGTTTTTTTAAAAAAGAAACTTTTTTATAAAAATTGGTTTTATACATTTTAATAATGACATCTCAAATTTTTAAAAATTCAGAATTAATAAAAAATATACCATTAGAGGTATTCGTTAAATCATCTGAAACTATAATTTAAATTTGTGTAAGTTTTTGGGATTCCATGGTCCAATTACTGTACTTGTATTTTTTAACGAATTTATTTTATTTGCTGGACAAGGACCATATATTAAAATTTATGATGTTATGCAAGGTTTTCTTATATACGCAGCAAGAATTTTTAAAAAAAATCAAATACATGGAATAGTATATGGTTATTGTTTGTTTAATAATTTTATTTACTAAAATATATCAAGCTAAAAGGAATAAATTAGTTATTTGGGGCGGTAAAGACTTTTGTATTGTTAATTTAGATGATTTATTTAATAACACTGACTTTGATGTTTGCGTTGTATCAGAATGGATTTTTGACGTAAAACCGTCTTTTGATAAGTCATATATATGGTTAACAACATCTCGCAATAAAGTATATGTTTATGATATTCAAACAAAATCATGTATTCAAGTATTTTCGTGTAATGAAAATCCTCTCTTATACAGTTCAAGTTTATACATTCATTATAATGGCTCTGTTACAGTTGCTTCTGCAACGATATTTAATGAAATTCAAATTTGGCATATTAGTCCTTACGAGTTTTTTAATAAAAAAAACATTTTAATACATGTAGCTCATCGTTTAAAAGAACATGAGGGAGCTGCTTTTAAAGTTAACTTTTCTAACGATGGGAAATTACTTTGTAGTTGCTCAGATGATAGAAGCATTAAAGTATGGGATTTGAATACAGGAAAATGTAAAGCTACTGGATGGGGTCACAATTCTCGTGTCTGGGATGTAAAATTTATTGATAATGATAATTCTAGACTTATTAGTGTATCAGAAGATACAACAGCTAGAGTATGGAAAATGATACATAAATCAAAATTAAAACAAAATTCTGTATATAGTGGTCATGAAGGAAAAAATGTATGGTCAGTTTCTGTTTTTAAGAATATATTTGCAACAGGAGGAAGTGATGGTAAAATACGTTTATGGGAAATAAACGATAAAGTTAAAAGTAAGAACTATATATTATTTCTTTAATATCAACATGTAGTATAGTTCAGCACCATATAACTGCAGATGATATCAAAAATGCAATTAATAGTTTACCTAACATATTATATGACGTAACAATTTTAAATTTGTTAATAATTTTTCATTTTTATTAGACTTTTCGTAGTTATGTTTTAATTAATTCTTTTCAAATTCTAATTGTTTCAGTATTTGGGTAAATATTTATATATGTTTATAAAAAAATAACGATATTATCTAGCAATGTTTTAATATTTAATATTAAAACGAAAAAATTTAATTATTTATTTTATGATTCTGATCTCAGCAGTTTTTCTAAGGTTTCTCTTTGGTCTAAAACAAATTTTGTGAATATTTCAGACAAATTTGGCAATATATATATACTAGATATAAAAAATAATTTATCTGTAAAGCTTTATTTTAATACATTATTACTTATTTTATCTAGATCTCAAAATATCATATATCTAATGAAAAAATACAATCTTTATTTCCTATATTTTATAATGGTATTTTTTATAGCATTTTATATATTACTAATGAAAAAGGTCTTTTGTATCTTATAACATTTTCATCAATTTCTTTAAATATTTACCTTCATTTATTTAAACAGGTCAAAGTATATCTATAAATAAAGCAATCAATAAAATAATTATAAAATAGTCTAATTTTATATATGAAAAAAATGATATTATTTCTATTGTACCAATGGAGTTAACTGCTGCTGTTATCAGTTTTGAAGCAAGTTTGGTATTTCTTGGATTTAGAACCGGTTTTTTAAGTATACATCGTTTAGAAGACTTTGGGAAAGGACTTCCTAGTGTTTATATAATCAAGGATTTATATAAAGAAAATGCTTTACATACAATTATTTTACACCCATATGAAAATAACTTATTGAATAAAAAGTTAGAAATAACAACGATTGGACATAATTGGATGTATTATATATTAGAATTAACATTTAATAGTCATAATAATACAATACAAATTGAAAAAAAACACCATGAAAAATGCAATAAACATGGAGTAGAGGGAGTAATTTTAATTATACTATTAATAAGAAGTAATTTGTGTTAGGGTTTTTATTTGAAAGGAGATTTAATACTTTATGGATTCAAAAAGCTTAGGTTTTTTATATGGAATCAGTCAAAAGATTTTGACATATTTTCAACAATATGTGGTGGACAACATAGACATTGGAGTATATATTTTTCGTATTCAAAAAAAATAGAAAAAAATTCAACATTTGTTTTTACTAGATCAAATTCAGTAAGCTTTTAAATCATATTTATAAAAATTAATAATATTTAGATCATCACTTGTCATTTTTCTTTATTATCTCCTTTTCAGAGTTTTCAAAAGATAATTCTTCAAGAAGGAAGACATGGTAGAGAAATCAGAACTATGGCATTTCATCCTATTTTATATCAGAAAAATACATTATTATTTTTAACAGGAGCCGAAGACACTACAGTAAGATTATCAAAATGTTTATTTTTAATATTTTTATATTTTATAATCTAACATAAAGAAAGTGTACATTACTAAATATAGTGAAATTATTAATATATATCGCGTAAAGCAGCATACAGCGGGCGTTGAAAAAGTTTCTTGGTCTAAAAATGGTATATTTTTTTTTTCATGCGGAGGAGCTGAAGAATTTATAACTTGGAAATTTTCAATAAAAAGTTTAAATCAAATAAGGATAATTGATCATGCAGTTTGCCCAGTAATTAATAATGGGCGGAATGTTCGTATTATAGATTTTTGCATAGTAGAACTTAGTAATAAAAATAACTATTTAATTATAATGGCATGTTCGGATTCATCAATTAGGGTAATTACTAACTTAGGGAATATTATACTTACAACTTTTTTAGGTCTGGCTATTTCAATCTAAAAAATCAAAATACAATTTAATTTCAAATGAAAAATATTCTACAAGATGTCTTTTAAATGTTATTTGTATTTCAGAGAAATCTTATTGTTATCTATTAGTAGCTTCTACTGATGGATTTATAACAATATGGAATATAAGCAATTATGTTAAATCATTAGATATTAACATAATTCAAAACAATTTTTTCCCTCCTCCCATTTGGAAGAATCAATTACATCAATCAAGTATTAAATCGATGATATTAACTCATATAAAAGGTAAAAAATATAAATAAAAATTAATAAAATTAAATATTTTAGACGAAAAATATTTATTAGTTACAGGAGGTGATGACAACAAAATAAATTTAACAGAAATTATTATAAAATTAGATTCAGATTCTTATAAAATATCGTGTAATATTATTATGAATAAACTTAATGCGCATGATTCATCTATAACTGGTTTAGTATTTAGCAGATCAGGACTATTAATTTCTATAGCAACTGACCAAAAACTAAAAATATGGAAAGTTAGTTCATCACAACTAATTTTTCTTTCAGAATTTTATACATATGTTGCTGATCCCAGTGGAATTTCTATTGCTAAAATCTTAGATAGAGAAATATTAGTTATTTATGGAATTGGATTAGAAATTTTTTCATTTAATACATTGATTTCTACATAATTGTAAATATCTTAGAAATATATATTTATAAATTCGAAGATCGACAAAATATTGTAATTTTAATTATTTTATAAAAAAACAATTAACTAGTTAGTAAACCACTAATATCGTTATATTTCATTGATTTAACCGTTTTTTTATGAACACGATAAAAAATAATGGATCTTGAAAAAATACAATATAATGAAAAGATAAATCAAATTATTCAAAATGCTCTTTCAAAATTTAGACAGGATCATAATGAGTTTGTTAAAGTACGTAAGTTAATATTGTATAAGATTCCTTTAATTTTTCAAAGAATGAATTAAACATTGCACAAAACACAATTCAGCGTGGTCAAAGTATACAATGGTTTAATAATTTAAATAAAAATATAATAGAAAATGATTTCTTTGATCCGAAATCTAATTATAATGAAAAAAAAATGACTTTCTATGTTAAAGTAATCCTTTTGTTTTATAATTAACATACTAAAAATCCAGAGCTTTAATCATTTAAAAACTAACACTTGCATTTTTCAAAAATTAATTGATATCGAAGATATACCAGGACTTCCAAAATATAAAGAAAATACAGCATTGAGACTTAATGTTATTAAAAATGATGAAGAAACTCTTCGATTTGTACCTTATATTGGAGAAGGCAATGAAGATAGTGATCTTAATTTACATGAGATATTTGATATTAAAATAAAAAATCAAGATAAAGAAGAAATTATGGAAAGCATGTGCTTTATTATTTGTGATCTTTTTTAATTTGTTTTATAGTGGCAAGTGATTTATCAAGTATTTTACTCAAAATATTATCAGAATGCGAAATTACTCTTTCATTACTTTATGATTATTATCTAGACTCTAGAACTAACGTTTTAGTCTCTCGTAATTTCAAAGAAGATTGGGTTTCCTTTTTAAAACACTGCAAAAAAAATTATACTAAAGTTTCTTTAAATGAAAAATATTACTCTATTCTTGAAATTTTTTCTTCTTCATGGAATTATTATATGCCTGTAGAACTATGGATAACTATACAATGGTAATATAACATATCTATTTATCTTTTAAGCTAATAATGCTTAGGGTAGATAAAATATCCAAATTTCGTACGAAAGACAAGTATTTCCTATTATATTTTTATCTTTAATACTAATAAAACAGAACTATTGTATTAAATCCATCAAGTTCTGATCCTTTAGATTCTTATTCACAGTTGTTATGTATTTTTTGCTATATAAATGAATGTCCTTATCATGGTAAACGTACCTTATAATAGAAATAATTTTTACTATTTATAGATTCCTTTGTTACTCGACTTCCAGATCTTTCTTTTCAAATGGAAGAACCTTACGATAAGGAAATACCTTGTTCTAAAAACTGCATTTTAAATGTATGTTAATTAAGTATTGAATATAAGATATTTAGTGTTTAAAGGTTTCAGCATCTAAAGATGTTTCACAATCTGAATGGACTCCTGATGACATATCTATTCTAGCGAGCTCTGTAAAAGTTTTAAATACATGTCCTAGATATTCATGTTTAATTGCATTGGGTTTAAATAAAACTTGTGTAGAGGTTTATTAATAATGAATAAAAAATTCAGATACTAACTTTGTAGATATTTAATAAAATAAATAATGATTCTTTCAGAATATTTCTTAAAGATTTTCATAACATAAATAACACAGAAAATTCATTGAAAAACAATAAAATAATAACTTATCAAAAGATATTAGGTAAAAGAAAAAGGTGGACATCATATCCAGATGACTGTGATAAAAGCGGATTGAGCACAAAAAGAGCAGAACTAAAACCTTGTGATCATTTAGGTTTTTGTGATGAAAATTGCCTATGTGTACAAAATAGAGTGTTTTGTGAAAAATTCTGTGTTTGTCCTAGTAATTGTCCAAGAAGGTGGTTAGGTTGTCTGTGCAAAGCCAATAAATGTAGTACCTGGGCATGTGAATGTGTAAAATGGAAACGAGAATGTGATCCTGATATATGTATTTCATGTGATTCAGCAGAAGCTCTTGATCCAACAAATAGACATAATCCAGAGATTCTTGCTTTAACATGCCAAAATGTACCTTTACAACAAGGAATAGGTTGTCGTGTAATATTAGGAAAAAGTAATATTTCTGGATGGGGTATATTTATTGGGGAACCAGTAAGAGCCGATACATTTTTAGGAGTAAATATAAAATGCATTGTGTTAGTATACTAAAAAAAAACTCTAGGAATATAAAGGAGAAATTATATCCCATAATGAATCCGAAAGACGCGGGTAAGTTTATCAATTTATTTTAATAATAATAATAATAATTGTAGAAAACTTTATGATAAAATTGGTATATCTTTTTTGTTTAACTTAAACAAGAGTAAATATTATATATCCTTAACTTACAAATGATATTTTTTAACTATTTAAGATCAAGTCGTAGATGCTACAAGAATGGGTAATAAATTTAGATATGCTAATCACTCAAGAAAAAGGCCTAACTGTTTTGCACGTGTAAGTTTGGTAAATGGTTGTCATAGAATTGGGTTTTATGCTATTAAGGATCTTAAAGTTGGAGAAGAAGTAAGTAGATATATATTGAAATTATATAATAATTTATTTTTAAAGCTTTTATTTGATTATGGGTCTGAATGTTTCAAAAAAAAATAGTAACTAATATCATTAGATATAATCAACAAACAATTCATTTCGTACCTTTAGAATTATGGGAAAAAAAGGATAAACCAAACACGTCTGACAAAGATAAAAAAAAAAACTCAAAATCTATAAAAAAATCCAAATAAAACATATTAAAAAAAGCTTTAAATAGTATTAAATTGTGTATGCATTTTCGAATCAATTTTCTCAAATTAATGTTTTTAGTGAAATAAAAATATAATATTTTTAATTTATTTTTTTAAATTTTAAACCAATTTGTTTTTTTTTTAAAAAATAGAAAAAAATTTTCATATATACTTCATTAATTTACTCTTTTCTTTTTCCTTTTTATATTTCTAGATATATATTTTCTTTTAAAATCTAAAGTTGAATTTGAAAATTTATTTTGTTTGTATTTTTGAGTATTTATTATAATATTTGTTTCATCTAATGAACTTTCAGTATCATCACAACTATAATTTATATCATTATTAATGTCATTTAAATTATTGTTATTATTTATAAAAGAATTATAAGAGTTCGGAAAATCTTTAAGATTATTTATAGTATTTTTATTATCAATTGATTCTAAATTTTGTATTTTATATTCATTAAATAATGTTTTTTTAGATTTTTTCAAATTATTTAAAGCCTTAGTAAATCTAGTAACTTTATTAGTTATCTTATTTTTTGAAGTAAAAGTATTAATAGAATTGATAGACCAATAATCTGTTAACGTTGTTTGAATTTTATTTATATGCCCAAGACTCATACTTCTGATAACAGGAATAAGTATTTCATTAATTTTTTGTGAAGACCATCCTATTGTAGACTTTAAAAAGTCACTTAAGCTATCTAAATCAGGAATTCCCCATTTAAATTGTTGAGAACTTGAATCGACATCAGGCTCAAGATATGCTTTATCAACTAATGGATTTGGAAAATCTCGTGGCAAAATAATATTATCAACATTTTTTTTAAATTTACATTTAAAAGTTGATTCTTTGTCATTATCAGTTTCATGAAAATTTTTTACACGATTACACCATTCTTTAAATTCATTTAAATTACTTGAATCTGGAAATTCAGATAAAATTTCAAGAGCCGTAACTGGTCCAATTTTCTGAATGCCTTCAGTGTAATCACTTCCAAGAAGATGTGCAAGACGAATTAAATTTTTTCTATCTAAATTAAATTCCTGTTCTAAATCAGACAAACGATATAATTCAACATATTTTGAATGATTAAACATATTTCTATAAACATTAGTACCACCAAAGAGAAAAACATCTGAATCATCAGTTATAATTCCATCTACAAGTCCTAGCCTAACAAGTTCTGCACATTGAGCTTCTGCTTCTGCAGGTGCTGTAATATAAGGTATTCCAAATAACCTTAAAAGAATTCTACATTCTTCTATCATTATTTGAGTCACACTATCTGCATTTTTTTTATTTTTTTGATATTGGTTCATAAATGTTTCTAATTCTTCAAGATGTTTTTCGTTATAATTATCTATATTATTCAACTGAGGAAAAAAAAAATTATGTTCTCTATTTTCTTCAAAAACTTGTTTCAGTAATGCATCATTTTCTATAATTAGATTATAATTCCCACAATCACTTATATCAGAAGCATTGTTAATTGAAATAGAGCTAATTTCGGATATTTCCTGACTTTTTTTAAATGAATTAGCAGATTTAATTGTAATAAATTTTGTTTCATCAAATTCATTAACTACAGGAAAACATGATGATTTATCAGTAATTTCTAAAGTAGTTTTATTTATTGGATTTTTATCTTCAGAAAAAGCATTTTTGATAAATTCAACATTAACTTTATCGGTATTGAGAAATTCTATATCTTTTTCTAAATTTTTTTAAAAATTAACTTTAAAAATATAAAAATTTTAAATAAACAAACCTTTAACTTTAACTTTATTATTGAAATTCTTATAGTTCTCTTGTTTATCTGAAAAAAAGGATTCTCCACTAGATAATTCGATATTATTTAATAATTTAGAAAATGTTTTTTTTTCATTATAAAACTCTTGATCTTTCGATAACTCATCATTTTTTGTAGTTTGATCAAAATTAAAGCTTTTTTTTGATAAATCTAAAATATGTTCTGATTTTTTTAGATTAGATGATATTTCATAATTATTAATTGATTCCAAATTTTTATCTTTAAATATAGTTGAATGATTTTTTTCTTCAAAACTATCAGTATTTACAGAAACCTCAATTGATTTTTCTGAAAAAATATCGGATAACTGTGGTAAAGAAAGTTTGTTATTAAGCTTTAATCTAAAATATTAATAAAAAATTTAGAGAAAAACTAATATAAACTTACTTTTGATATTTAATTTCATTTTTTTCTGTATTTCTAGTTAATTTTAAATAATCCGATCCTAGATCTTTTTTACAATCTACATCTTCTATGGATTGAGGTTTTTTTTTATTTTTTTTTACTACATTGTATTTATTGTATTCATTGTCAGAACCATCAGATAATAAAAATAATGGATTATTTTTCATATTATATGTATGAGAGTTAGCTCTATAAAATAATTAGTTTAAAGTAAACAGATATATATATACAATATATTGTTTTCAGAGTTTTTTAGTATTTCTCTTTCAAAATTAGTATTTAAAAACTGTAAATTTTTTCCCAAATTTATTAAAAAATAAGCAATAAAAATATAAAAGCAAAATTTTACTTATCTAAAGGAATATCTTCAAATTCTTGATTTTCATAATCAGAATCACCATTTTCATCATTAATAACAATAACATTATTTTTAATTTCCGAATCAAAACTTAATGTCCAACCTGGTTTAATATCCTCATTTTTTATCAATAGATATTCCTTGTTTGGTTCTCCAGCAACCCTTAAAGTTCCTGTTTTATTTATTCCATTAAAATTAAGTAATCTCTGAGTTAAATCATTTCTTTCCCTGACTCTGTTAATTTGAAATTTAGAAAACTCCATAGAATCAGGAAACATTGTCATGAGTTCATGTGCTGATAAACCTATGCGAAGTCGTGATTTCGAACGCGCTAAACTTAAAATATTATATTGATCAGCCAACGATAAAGACTTAAAAAAATCAGAATTAAAATCAATTCTTGAAAACTATATATTAACTTATTAAAAATAGAATACTTAAAATAATTAATTACATCTAAAAAATTAAGATCATCACTGGTAAAATTTTGTATAAGTTCCGGAGTATTTTCTTCATTTATTATCCTAAAATCACCTGATCGTTGCATTTTTCTATAAAAATTAAATTACACAAAAAAAGAATAACTTACTCAAAAGGCAAACTAAGCTTAGGCAAATCATACATGTCTTTAGTTTTATCTTGTAAAATTTTAATATTTTCAGATAGAGTCTCTATATTTTCAAAATACGGAGATTTCGATGTATTCATTGAATTATTTCTAAAGATACCTTAATAGCTAAATAATTATTAAAAAAATTACTCTTGTTTTTTGTGAATTTCTCTTTCAACAGTTTTTTTTACTTGCAATAAGAATATTTTTTCTGCAAGTTTTTCAGAATTTTCTTCATATTTAAGTCTTTTTTCTGCCCTTTTTTTCTTTTCAATGACATAAGCATTGAAAAATAAGTTCGTAATAAAATTACCATAACACATTGTTTAAGAAATGGAACATTTCCATCAAAAACAAATACCGGTTTAACTCCAAAGAACAAAAGTTTACATATTCTTCGAAAAAATCCAATAATATGACCATTACTAATATAATTTCCTTCCTTATCTCTAAATGCTTTAAAAAACTTTAATAATTAATTTAAGAAGAAATTCTCTGATATTTTTTTACCTGATATATCCATATAGAAGCATCCACTGCTAGTATTTTTCCTGAAAGGCTAATTATATAAGAAAATGACATGAAATATTTAATTATTCACGTTTCTAATTTAACTAATCGTGATACTTCTTCCAGTATAGTCCATAATTTGTTAACGCCCATGAATCTGCAAGAAATATGAAAAATATAGATTCATTCCATTAAAAGATGCAAATAATCGTTATTTATTTATCTTAAAACTATTATCTTCTAATATAATTAAATAGTTATAAAAAACGCTAACGATTTTTTTTAGAAATCTCCAAAATTTATATACTTTAAATAAGAAATTTATCATAAAGAAAATGGCAAAGATAAAATCTAAGGGTAATAAATATAAAATATTTTTTCTCTTTTTTATGTTTTTAGGTGAATCTGGAACAGCAAAAAATTTTATTACTCGTAATCAGGCACTTAAAAAATTACAAGTAACTCTTGCTGATTTTAGGAGATTATGTGTAAGAATTTTTTAAGAAAATAGATTTTATCTTATCTTTTATTCAGATTTTTAAAGGAATATATCCAAGAGAACCACGAAATAAAAAAAAAGCAAATAAAGGATCTACAGCACCAGCAACATTTTATTACTCTAAAGATATCCAAGTATTTTTATTTTTGTGGAATTTCATAATTATATTAATCTACCAAGTATCTCCTTCATGAACCTATTATTGATAAAATACGTCAACATAAAGCTTTTATAAGAAAATTTAACCGTGCACTAAGCCGTCAAGAATATGAAGTTGCAAAATCATTACAAAGAATCAAGCCTTCATACACTTTAGACCACATTATTAAAGAAAGGTTAATATAATTTTTTTTATTTAATCTTTATTAATTTGTTTAGATATCCAACATTTCTTGATGCTATCCGAGATCTTGATGACGCACTTAGTATGCTTTTTTTATTTTCTTCTATACATGTTACAGATAAAGTTGATTCATCTGTTATTTTAAACTGTGAACGTTTGTGCTTAGAATTTCAAAATTATATTATAATATCAAAATCATTAAGAAAGGCTTTTCTTTCTATTAAAGGTATTTATTATCAAGCTGAAATCAGAGGTCAAGATGTTACTTGGTTAGTTCCATATAAATTTTCTCAGGAGGTTTGTATAATTTACTAAAATTTTGTTATTTATTTCATTAGATACCACCTGATGTAGATTTCCGAATTATGGTTACATTTTTGGAGTTTTATCAAACTTTTCTTGGTTTTGTAAACTTTAAATTATATAACGATTTTGGTTTAACTTATCCACCTCCTGTTAATATTTCTCTTCTTGAAGGAGCAGGCGATATTTTAGCATATAGTTTAGAAAAATCAAGAACTCAAATTGAAAATAAATCAGAAGAAAACCAAAAGCCTAAGGATATAAAAAAACAAGTTATTACATTAAATAAAGAATTAGATAAAATATTTGCTGAAACCGAATTTTCAACTCATAATTCTGAAATTTCTGAAGACATAAATGACGATGTCGTTCTTGATAATTTTCATATGCAATCTGATTCTAAAGATTCTCTCAATAAATTAATACAACCAGTTACTCCTAACTCGGAAAAAGTTAACATATTTGAAAACTTTATCTTTTATCTATCTAGAGAAGCTCCTCGTTATTCTTTAGAATTTGTTATAAGGTCTTTTGGAGGAAAAGTTGGATGGGATCCTGTTCTTGGAGATGGTTCCCCTTTTAAAGAAGATGATATGGCAATTACACATCAAATTTACGATAGACCAAGTTTAAATAAAAGAATTATAACTAGGGTTTACATTCAACCACAATGGGTTTATGATTGCATTAATAAGAAAAAAATATTAAATACAGATGAATATGCACCTGGTTCTTTGTTACCACCTCATTTAAGTCCATTTGTAAACGTGAATGATAATGAATATAATCCTGAAATGGAAGATGAAGATGATAATCTGGATGACCAAAACAGTTCAAATGGTATTTTGAATAATCATAAAGCAGATTTACAGGATACTTCACTTTTAGATAATATTGAAAAAACCGAAAAATTAGAAATTGAAGAAACAAAATCAGAAGAAGTTAAAAATTTAGCAAAAATTATGCTGACTAGTAAACAAAAGAAACTTTATAAAAAAATGATTTACAGTAATTTAAAGAAGAAAGAAGAAATAGATAAATTAAAAAAGAAACGCAAGAAGCTAATGCAAGCGAAAAAACAAAAAAGTAATGTTAAAGTTTAAAGTTTAATGATGTAAATATATTAAAAATATAACAATATCATTTTTGAATATATCATGTTTCGAAAAATTGATTCTTATAAAATCGTAAACATAATTTTTTGAATTTAATTGAATAAACCCTTATGACTGTCTTTGTTTGTGTTTTTTGTTCACTTTACATAATATATAGATTCTTCCTTTTCTTCTAACACTATAGCAATATTCACATAATTTTTTGACCGATGATTGATTTTTCATTCCAGAAATTTGAAACGTTGGAAAAAAACCATTATTTATACCGAACTTTGATTTATAAAACTTAAATACTGAAAATAACCCAGAAGTCCAAGTTCTTCTTAATACTGTCCATTGAAGACAAGAGTGGTTCATTAACTTTTTCGCTAACGGTAAAAAATAATTTTAAAAAATAATAAATACATTTATAATTAAAAGTTAATTGCAAAAAATAGCTATTATTTTAAAACAGTTTAAATACTTATTAAAAATTAAATAAAATTCACATTAAAGATATTTTTTTAATTTCTAATATAACTTTTTATAATAGATTTAACAATTTTTTATACTTTATTAAATTATTTTATATTTTAAAAACTCAGGCGGAATTAATTTTGGCCATGCCACATAATATAAGCCGTTGGTTATTATATAATAAACTGACCATATAAGTATAAAAAACCAGAAAGTTAAAAAAACATTAAAAGATAATATAACATCTAAATTATATTATGCTTAAATCTCTATATTAATGTTTTATTACCGTTTGAACTAGGTAAAAATATTTTAGCTAAAATCATAAAAATAGAAAAGAAAAAAAGATAAGGAACCTAACACATTTAAGATTAATAAATTAAAAAAAATTAAAAAATACAAATTGAATAAATAAAGGCTTATAACTTAAAAAAGGAGATTTTTTATTTTGTTGAGGTATATAATTCCCAAGAAATAAGTCATAGGCATCTTGACGAGACCCATCAGTAAAATTGTTTTGAAAATAACGTAAAATTGAATTTATCAAATCATGAAATTCTCCTTTTCTTGTACGTTTCCCAGTCCTTGAATGATTAATAAAAAATATGTATCTAAATTTATTACCTTGTAAAATCTGTCTTTAAAGCACCTGTACCAGAATAAGAAATGCTTATAAAATCAGCATTATCTGCCCACACTAATTTATATAAGAAAAAAGTGAAAACGAAATTTATATATACTATTTCTAAATAAATTATCAAGTTCTGGGTAATTTTCGATATTTTCATTTTTATTAAATACAAAAATATCTCGTAATTGTTTCGTTAACATCCATCTTGCTAACGCCGACTGTATAACATTTGTACGATCCAAACAATCAATACAATTTGTACGCACTATTGATGTTTGAAGATGAACAGGAGATGACAAATCAGAACAATTAACAAAACAATAACTATAAAAGTAAGCATTAATAAAATTTCAACTATATATTACTTTTGTTTATGAAGAAGTGGTAAAAGTTGATCTATCAAAATTTGAACTCTATACCATCTCATTTCTCTACACTCTTGATGGAAATCAAAATACAAATATTGTATCTTAGGTTCGTTTAGAATTCTAATGATTTCTTCAAAAGCTGATTTAATATTATATTCACGTCCATGTTGATTTATTAAATTCACTACAATTTGTTCTCCATAAATTTTAATCTGTTTATCAAAGTGCAATTTCGAGGGATAAATCTATCATTATTAATATATATATATATATAAAGTATAATACGGAATTGTTTATATTAGAAACATGTAATTCTGGCTTGTACTTTAAATTATTTATTTCTGCCCAAAATATTGGAATACTTCCTCGTATTTGAACATATGATAATTTTAACCGTTCAGTGACACCTGAAAGTTTATTTATATTTTCAGATAAGACAATTTGTTCCGTTTCATTAAAATTGGAAACATCTCCTTTTTCATTTATTCCTCTTGAAAAATATCTTGTTCCTAGAAATGTATTATTTTTAATTTTAAACAGAATAAATTATACCTGCTCTATATTTGGAACGTCTTGAAATTAAAACAATAAGTAAAAAATGATCCTTAATTATTATATGAGTAATTTTTATAACTAATTTTTATTAAAATATAAATATTGTAAAATTCCTTACTTACAACCATAGATAACAGGCAAAATATAGCTATCTACCTATATTATACATAAATTATGAATTATACATTATATATATATACATACGTCAGAATGAAACGTTTCCCTTAAATTAATTAAATCTGATTGAATGAATTTATTCCAAAAGAATCGGTCATCAGCCTAGTTTTAATAAATATTTTTTTCATAACATTTTAAAAGAATTACTGTTTTCCATATAGGAATTTCAATATCTGTATTTAAAGTTGCCTGCCTTTGTACCGTATTTGTAATATCAAGTGTATATGAAAAATAAAAAGGACCTGTATTTAAATGTTTTTTTATTAATTTGATATACTCTGTCTCATCATAATCCTATGTTATCAGTTAGTTAAAATTATCTAAAAACACATAAACAACTATTATTTGCTTGCTTTTTAAAGGCATAAGACGAAACGATTTCATTTGAAATATGTCATCTTGACCAATTTTACCAATGATTTCTCGTTCAGTAATAACAATTATATATTTATCTATATATAATAAGACGTATAGTATTATTTTAGTATAAAAAACCGTATTTTAACTGGATAATACCAATAATACCATAAATACGCAATAAAGATTGATCAATTTTAACATGATAGATTTCTCTTTCTATTTAAAAATATTAATAAACATCAAGTATACGTTACAAAAACCAGCGATGTAAACTTAATTTGCCATTTAATCGATTAATAACAAGTAGTTTTTTCGACTTATCTTCAGGAACAAAGATAAATTCCTCTTTAGAAATGTATAAATATAAAATCTGATGCAACATAATATAATACGAGAGCAAAACCAATTTAATCGAAGGTATAAAAGTAAATTATAGTTTAAAAAGGGGAACAAAAAATATACAAATTGATTTGCTTTTATTAATGATATAATTCAAAGTTTACAACCGAAATGCAACAAAGATAATGCATTAGATATAGACACTCATGACCTGCAGATATATATAATGAGCTTTAAATATAAAGAAATTTTATAAATAAAATCCTTGTAAATAAATATCAAGCGAAACATGTCCAAATAGATTAGCCGCTCGGTGCAAAAAATGTTATTGTCATAGCTGTATAAATATATAAGTGAGACCGAAAAATATCCGGAAGTATTTGGAAATAATAAATAAATTAAGTAACCATAGGACTTGCGTCTACGTAGTGAGTACGCTGGTTGTCATCCGCAGGAGGCGTGGGAAGACCATTTTCATTTTCCTGTATATTTTTAAGTTGGTCTGCAACAGAGTCAGGTGCATGATTGTTAGTATTAATGCAAAGATGAAACTGAGAGTGTTGACGATGCTTATGATGTGGAGGCGTATGTGGAGAATCATTTTGTAAAAAACCTTGTCTTAATGATATAGATGCGAGATAGTTGGAGATAATTTTCTTAACACCAATATGTGAATATTTTTTAAAAAGAACATTAGAAACATCATTAAGATGCCGCTGGAGCTTATGAATACACGAAAGAACCTCTGATGATGGAATCAAATAATGTTTTTTAGGCTGCAATATAGATTGCGCAAGAAAAAGTGACGCTTCTGCAATTACACTCGAAAGACATATAAGATCACGATGAAACAACGCAAGTTCTGTAAAAAACCGTGCAAGTAAAACAACCTTTTCCGAGAAACTAGACTGCATTACCTTCATCTGAAGAAATGCAATCGTTGTCGGATGGCCAATCATCCAATCAAGCGTTTTGATTATATGACTTTCCATTTGAACAAACATCTCCTCACGATAACTGTCACAACACATAGTACAAAGCTCCTTAAGCGTCGGAACACGGTCTTTCGGCTCTTCAAACTTAGCTGCAATCCATAGCGCCGAACACCCGAGAAGCTGATAGTGTTTTTTAAAAACTATCCGCTTCGACGTATACCGGTCAATAAGATTTACCGTAAGATAAAGCGTTGTCGCTTGCAGCCGAAACCCAGCATGCACCTCAATGATAAAATCAATCAGATACGGCCGCATGTACCATTCAAGCTCTGGTTGCAAGTCCATCATCTCTGGATGCGCCTGTGTCTCTTTCTACCCCATTATTAGCCTTATTCTCCCTGCAAATTACCATCCAATCCTCCATCCACTTCCAAAACCAATGTAAAATCACTGTTTCATTATATATCCATAAAAATTCATTAAAAATTCATTAAAATATCCCCTATTGATCGCATTTTCTCCCCATTATCGCCCAAAAACCACTTACCTCCATTTTTTTCATATATTCTTCAATTTCTTCCATATATTCTCCCTCAACCACTCCCAATCCCCTCTCCTCCTCCTGATTATCGCCCCATTGCTTCTCCACTCCCTCTATTTGCGCTCCAGAAACCGGTGATAACGGTGTATACGCCTTGTGCTTTGCAATGCTTGTTTTTGCATATCTGTCCACGGAAAAACGTCTTTTGACCGCCTGAGACGGCATTCTGCCTCTTTTTCCCTCTTCCTGAGACTCCTGACTCTGAAAATCCCTCCTGCTTCACTATCCCTCCAAATTTCTCCGGACAACTTGTCTTTTCCTACTCACAGCCAATTCAATCAATAATCCCCAATTGATGCCCCGAGTTTTCTATCTTTTCATGCACTTTTAGCCCTTATTTTAGCCCTTATTTAGCCCTTATACTCCTCTCCACTTCTCTGCTCATCCACCGAGACTTTATATATTTCTTGTGCGCGTCTCCAATTATGATTTTTAATCGTCGTCGTAAGGGGACGTGTGCACCCACCGCTTACGCGAGGAGACGAGTCTTCAGGCACGGTGCAGCCGCTTCTCTGCCTTAGATTTATCCTCAAAACGCCAATTTGTCCAAATTTTCTGCCAAAACTTTTAAAAATAATGCATTTCTTCTGCTTGTCTCCTGCTAGTCCCCTTTTCAGCCCTCATTAAACCCAAATTTGCCTGTAAACAAGAAATACTTTGTTTTAAAGTAGATTAGAGCTTCTTTAAGCCTTCTTTAGATGCAGATTAGACAGAGATTAGAGAATGTGTAAAATAAGTTTTAAAGGTGCAGAATTTGATAATTAAGGAGGAGCTAAGGGGAAGCTAAGCCATGAAGAGCAGTAGGGAAGGGACAAACAGAGGCTAAATACGTTTACGAAGATTGAACAACACACGGCTATGCAGTTTATGATATGTGGAATCTGCATCTGGAGATCAGTATGCAGAACTATCCCAGAATGATTTTGTAGACCCTGTAAAGGCACTGCAGGGTCGCTGCAGGGCCAGATCCGCATTCTCGGGTATAGTAAAAGCGAAGGAAGCAAAGGCATAGCTTAACGGCCCCTTAAATGAGGGTAAATAGTTGTGTTTTGGACAAAAGTGTGGTAAAATAGGTGCATGGAGATGCAGATGAGAAGATTTATGTACAAAGGGGTAGTGAGGGGATTGGAAAAGAAGGATAGTTTCTAACTAGAAGAGGATGAGTAGCCAGGGAGTTTAGAAGAAGATGAAAGAGGGTTAAAGAATGTGTGTTTAATGATTTTTAAAAAGATTTTTAAAAAGTCGTTAGAAAGGGTCCTAAAAGGATCTAAGGTGCTTAGAAAGCGTGCAGAAGAAGCGTAGGGCCTAATAAATGAATATTTGGTCCGTAAGCAGCTTTCGGGTTTTGATTCCTAACGAAAGAGTGTAAAAATTGAACAGTGTATAAAATGTATAAATGTTGTAAAAGTGTTGTAAAATGTAAAGCGTCAATGCATAGCAAATGCCCAGCAATTGTCTGTACCGCCCATGCCCGGAAGCTGTCTAGTCTTGGTGCATGATAGTTTTCGACGGCGTTTGTAGTGATCGGTTATGTCTTGCAAACACCGCCAACACATTTAATAATAATGATAACGACCGCTGGCACAATAAGCATTGTAATACTTACAAATGGAGTGGCTTACTGATAGCGACCAGAATCAGGATGGTTAGTCTATCGCTGAATAAGCACCTTTTTTGTCTACAAAGACCCGTTCTATCCACTTACCCGAAACAGTAGCATTTCTTGCGCCGTGCTGCACGTATATTTGCAATTGCCTTGTCCTGATGTTGGACTCCCTGCTCGATATTTGTATGAACCGCTTCCGCTTGCTGCAAAATAGTCTGCAGCGGCTCATCTTGCTGATCCACTAGTATACTCATCTCATTAAATAGCTCTGCCAGCTCTGAAATCGTCTGTTCAATCTGTTTTATGTCCTGGTGCCGCTCCTGAACCTCCCGCAGTGCGGTGCGTGCCTCTCCGTGCCGATTGCTCCGCAACAGCTACGTCGTCAGCCTCTTTTTCCCCGTCTTTTCCCTCTTACCGCCTGGCTAAAGACCTGCAGCCCCCTATCATCGTTTAGCGCTGACTCAATCTCCTCCTGTGTAATCCCCGGGTTCACTGTCTCCATCTGCCGCGACAGTCTCTGTCGGTAGCGTTGGTTAAACGTGCTTTCCACCCCCGAGTAGTGCTGGATCGAGTCCAAAAACTTCTTCCTTATATTGCTCGTTTGGATCACCCGAATTTGCAGATCACTCTTCGGCACTAGCCCCTTGTTTTTCTTCTCCAGCGTCTTGATGTCGTCCCGCACCAAATTCTGCATCTGCCGTGTCCGTGTCTTGAGTTCTTCCAGCTGCCCGTGAAGAAACTCTGTCTGCTCCTCTGAAATCTCATTCAGCAGCCGGTGGTGGAGGCGCTCAATCTGTGACACATTCTCCTTGATCTGCAGAATCATGTTCCGCAGCTCTTCAATCTACCCCCATCAGCACGGCCTCCTATCCCTTTTCCCCGACCTTTTTAAAGAACTCTGGCAACGTTGACTTCTGTGGAAGGTCCTCCAGCTCATATTCACTCCGTTTCTCGTCCTCCCTACACACTTAGCCTTCTGTACTCCATCTTTGCTGTTTTTACTGCTGTTTTTCCTGGATATGCTTTTCCTGCACCGTTTCCTGCTCCGATCAGCACTGATCTATACTGATCCACGCCGTTCCACACGGATCAGCGCCGTTCTCCCCACCTGCCCGTCTATTTGGCGGTCTCCAGCCATCGTCTCCTAGTCGTGTGTGTAAACTCGCCACAAAACACTCAGGTCCGCTAAATGCCACTCAAGTACCACGTAATACCCCGTAAAGATATGCAAGGATTCTAAAAATCGCCTCAAAAATCACCCAAAACCCACTCAAACCGCCCCCAACCCGTTTTTTCTCGTTGGTTCCGTTCTCGAGGTTATCGTCCGCTGCACCGCTCTATCGCTGCGATATCAATCACTGCCTGCACGCCCAGAACACCCCCCCTCTTTTTACACACATCCCCCCTCCTCCCGCTACCCCCACACTGGTTACACCCTCCTCGTTCCCATTCCGCTATTTTTCCTGTATTTTTCGCCCTCCTTTTCCACCGGCCCTTCACCCACTATATATCCACCGCCCGTCCCGCCACCTGCCTCTCCGCCCAAACACGTATACAAACACGTATACTTCCTTTTTGCCCCCAATACGTCCATATTCACTCTTATATACACTTTGCTCATGCTTTTTCCCGCTTTTCCTGTATTCTCTCCTCTTCTCCGCCCCCTGATTTTCTCCCCCCGCTCTCCGCACCGACGCCCATGGCCGACGATGCTGTCTCTGAAAAACATGAAACCCCCGAAAAACCTCTTCCTGCGTCTTCCCCCATCACTGTCTTTCACGACCCGAAAAACTTCACTGTCAAACACCCCCTTATGCACCGCTGGACCCTCTGGTTCACCAAGCCACTAACTCCCGGCCAGCGTGCAAGCACCACCGATGCCTGGGCCGACAGTCTCAAGGAGGTCATCACGTTTGACAGTGTTGAAGAATTCTGGGGGTAAGTTCCTTCCCGCCTTATTCTATTCTCCTGTTTCCCTTATTTTCCCTGTTTTTTTCCCCCTTTTTCCCCCTTTGCTGACCCTTCTGCTGACGCTCCTCAGGATATACAACAACATCGCAAAGGCCTCCCAGCTTCCCCCAAAGAGCGACTACCACCTTTTCAAGACGGGTGTCCGCCCAGAGTGGGAGGACAAGCAGAACCAACGCGGAGGCCGCTGGTCGTACAATAACAGAGACCGCCGCGCCGTCAACATAGACGAGCTCTGGCTCCATATTGTATCAACGTTTCCATAGCAACCACTACTGATGCCTCAGATGTTGGCGGCGATTGGCGAGACGCTCGAGAACGAGGGCGACAACGAGGTGATGGGCGTCGTTGTCAATATACGCAAGGGCTTTGTGCGCCTCGGCCTGTGGACGCGCTCCACGAGCAACGAGGATGTCCTCCGTGCAATCGGGTGTGTCCGGTGCTCCACTGAGGGCTGCTGACCCAGGACAGGAAGCGCTTCCGAGAGGCCATGCGGATTCCAGACAAGGAGACGGTCGAGTTCTACTCGCACTCGGACTCGGCGCACTCGGGCAGCACGCGGGCCAAGTCGCGCATGTATGCATAGTCTCGAGCGGCGCAGTGTGCCAGCATGCGTAGTGTACATAGCATAGTGGCAAAGTGTGCCGTGTGTCGCATACAGTGCACAGCGTGCAACGTGCATAGCATGGGTGTGCGCACAGCAGAGAGTATGTATGGCGTATACTGTGCGCAGCAGCGTGTGTGTACAGCATATATAGCATATATGCTATATAAGTGTGCACAGCATGTGCAGTGTGCAGTGTGCAGTGTGTATAGTGTGTATATAGTGTATACGGTATAGTGTATATAATATAGTACATATGGTATATGGTGTACGGTATAGTGTACAGAGCGTACATAGTGCATGCAATGCATAGAGTGCAGTGTGTACGGTGTGTGCGGTGTATATATGCGCATACACAGTGCATATACACCGTGCCAGCAGTCGCCGTAGGTGTGCAGTGTGTGCAGTGGGCATCCGAGTGTCTGCGCGTGTATATGTATATATGCGTGTCAGTGTATGCGTGTATATGTATAGTATGCACAGCAGCATAGCTGTAGTGCATACACCGCAGAGTGCATGTGCAGTGCATGTGCAGTGGACGTGAGCGGACGTGTTATATGCACATACGCCCATATTCTGTGCTGCACGCTGTGTGTGCTATGCACGCTATATGCTATACACTATGTGCGTTGTATGCTTTGTATGCGCGTTGTATGCGCTGTATATGCGTTGCATTCGCCGCATACACTGCTATACACAGACTATGCTGTATGCACTGCGTGCACAATGTGCACATTGACGCATACACTCACTATATACACACAGATACACATATATAGACATATACACTCATATATAAATATACACTGATATATATACATATATACACTGACATACACGTATACATGCATATACACACATACTCACCCATATATACTCATATATACGCGCATACACTGACTACGCGCATACACACGCACAACGCCCACCGGCACGCTGCATATGCACCGTACAGTGTAGCAATGTATGTACTGTATGTGTCTATAGTGCATACATTGCTACACAGCACGGTGCATATGCTGCTGCATTGCGGGTACACTGCGCATACACAACGCATACAACGCATACAACGCATA